GACCAGATTGATAAAAAAACTGTGTTCATCTTAAAAGTGTCAAAAACCAAAAAAAAAATGTAAATAATGACCCCCTTTAAAAATATACTATTAACTTAAAGTATATTTTTAAAGGGGGTCATTATTTACATTTTTTTGGTTTGTGACAATTTTAAGATGAACACAGGTTTTTTATCAATCTTGTCATATTTTTTCTTCCCATGTCTGATACTTGTGCCTGTGCATATAATAAAAGCTTATTGCTTAGGTTGCAGACATGTCATTGACATATATTAGACATAAAAGAGGACCTAAAATGAACATCAGGGGGACACCATAGGTACTCAGAGCAGTAGGAGAAGGAGAACCAGCCACATCAACCAGCTGCTATCAGAGATAAGACTTGAAGCATGTAAGAATGTCATTACATATGGCAGATACTTCAAGTTCCATGAAGAAGAAGAAAAAAGAACTTCTTCATGTGCAGTATAGTGTGATCAACTGTATCAAATGCTTTGTAGATCTAAAAGTATCATGCAATACTGCCTTTGTCCATTTCAAATAAAGTACAATCTATTAAATGAGAAAAACCACTTCTAAACCCTGACTTAAACTGCCTGACCATGACTCGAACCCATGACTTTCAGAAGACCAACTGAGCTATCCGGCCGGCTACACATTTTCTCTTTAATAATGAAATAGTTCTAAACCACAACATATTTCCCCACTCTATTAGTTTATGTCCTTGAATTTCTGATGTTTACAGAGCATAGTGAATTAACTCATGGTTATATGCAGTCACTGGATGAGAAATTTTTCAGCTTGACCAGAACTCAAACCTGTGACCCACAGAATAATGTACCGCGGCTGTAAGCGATTGAACTATCTGGCCGCTTACACATTTTCTGGCCTAAATAGTGAACAGTTCTAAAACCGTGACAGATATTTAGATTTTTAAATCAACAGATAATTAATTCTTAATTAATAAATAAGAAAATAAAAACCTTAGATACTCATAGTCTAAATTAAAATAACAATTTATATATTATGTATAATTAATTTTACTAAAAAGGGCTTAGACAGTAAACTATTGGTTGTGCCATTATTTATAACAGGTCAATTTGAAAGTGAACATAACTGTGCTAATACATGTACAATATCTATTTTTTGTACGGATAAAAAACTAACCCTTTTTCTATGATTTTTGTGAAATTTTATGAAGGCTGATTTGTATTTTGCATCAAGGGCACTGGGCGAAAACATGAAAATGCAACAAACAAACCACATTGTGTCTGGCGCCTTGTTACTTTTTTGTACTTTGTTGGTTTTCATGTGGCAAAAATCACCTGCTATAAAATTAAGTGTACAAATTTATTCAAGGGCAAGTAACAATCTACTCTATGAAAAGTCTGTTGTCGGGTTGACTCAGGAGACCTGAAGCTTGGAAATTGAGACCGGTGTCCCTCCATTACAAATAGATAAGACAGAAGCTGTCCTTTTCAATCTATGCACATGTTAGAAAAAAAATTAGAATAACCATTCAAAACATGATTTTTTGAGACTTTATCAATTATATTGCTTGATCCAAGTTTCAGGACATTTTCAATCAATACATGTATTATCATTTATAACTTTAAATGAAAGTATCATCCCTTTAATAATAATGACATAACTGTAACTCTTTAAATTCAGAAATATTATAAGTCTCATCATATCAATATACTAAGATATACATGTATGCACATAACATTAATAATTCCCAGTTTCTATTAAATAAATATGAAATCCTAGCATTAACATTGGTACTAATGGATGGAATTCAAAATCTAGTAGAATATATAAACTCTGTTATAGATACTATTATTAGCCAGCTAACACTGGGTATAAACAACTATAACCTGTAGACTGATCAATATATGTATTATCATTAATTAATTTAAATGCAAGTCTCATCCATCATAACTGTAAGTCTTTAAATACAGAAATACACATTATATCCATATACAATGATACACTTGTATGCACATTACATTAATAATTCTCAGGTTCCATTAAAAATAAAATATAACATCCTATTGACAGGAATTCATAATCTTGTAGAAAGAAAACTAATAATGTATACATGATATTGTGTAGTATAAAAGTAAAAAAAAAATCTCAAATAGTCTATATCATGTGTTACAGATTAAGTTGTGTTAGTGTCTAAACATTAAATGCATATCTCTTACAGTAACAAATACTGTCCCTCTTTTAACCTTCCATTAGACTTTACTATACAATGTATAACTAACTGCATATAATGTAATCAAAGTGTTTAAAATGAGCAACCTATATGTATAGCTTAAATATTCTACTTTTCATTTTTACCAAAGGTTATTTTAGTAACAATTCATATACAAACACATAGAAAATAATAATTTCACATAGTGATTAGAAAAATGCCTCTAGCAGAATACCTATAGGTATGTACCAACTGAACAAACTAGAAAAATCTGGTCTAGGGTATATCAAGCCAGTAAAAATATATATCAATATTCACTCATCAGGGCCTCTCTGCTTTTGATGACCTTACAACTGGTAAATTTTATAAAAAACAAAAATAGTAAGTAATACTAAAGATAGAGAAGACAGAAAAGAACAAATAATTTAGTAAACATGAGTTACTTCCCCTTAAAAGACTGAAAACCTGAAACCCAAGAGAACACCCTAAACATTAAAATTACGAAATGTTGCAGACTCAGTCAGTTTTATTAAGCCATGCAAATTAATGGTAAAGTATTCATAAAAAATAGATGACCATGTGACAGCAGTTATTGCAGAAAATCGGATAGCTTTTCAACATCCGGATACTGGTACACTTTGTAAAAAACAACCGTTCTGTGCAACAGATCAACGTAATATGGATAAAATCAATAGGATAATCGTTAACAACAGTCCATTACCTATCCTTATACTCATTTGCAGGTGAACTTTCTTCTTGTAAGAAAATTTTGAAAATATATAAATGAATGAACGAAATGGTTACGGCATCAATGTAGACCACAACGATATTCGAAATCCGGGTTTTAGTATTGTCAATAAAACTAAGGGACAAGCTGTTAAACTGAGCATGCAATTTCGTGAAAATAATATCACAATGCACATGCTTTTTATATAAAGTTATTAAATACAAATATAACAACATATTTGTTTACATGATTTTTACGAATCAAAATAAATCTAATTAACTCAACATGAAATTAACTGCTAATAATAACAGCTCCTTCCATAGGCAAAAATAAAAAGCATTCCATATAAGACGACGCCGCTCACCGGCGTCGCCAATAAACCTTTCAATAGATTAAATTCATCTAAATTTTCTACATTTCTATGTAACTGCGACAAAATCCATGAAAAAAAAAAGAGGCGATGTTTATAAACCTTTGCCCTGCCTCTTATATCCAGGTAAGAGCAAGTGGTCCTTGGGAAATGACCTCAGGTTTTTGTTATTTACTTCTTATAGCCATCAGGATAGTGGGATACACACCATTAAAGATGCTGATTAATTTTAGGTACTTAAATTTAAACTTCTAATTTCAGAATTAAGAATATTTGGGAGTTTCCCTGAGTTTGTCCCTGGGTACAACTTTGTGCTTTTGCACTTATTATTATGGTTCTATTAAAACTGCATTGCAGCTACTGAGATAAAAGTTTGTACTATTGGATTAGATGAGAAAAAAACACATTTGTAGAATATTATTTTATTATATATTTACATCTTTTAAAAACATATGGCCAAATGACCTGTCAAAAAGCCCAATAATAACTTAATAATTATTAACCCTTAACATGCTGAATATTTTAAATGGACTTGTCCCATTTCCATTTTTTGGGTTTGTCCATTATCAAATTTAGGGATATCAATTTGAATATTTAAAATTTGTCAGCCAACAGTATAGAGCCTGGTCAGACTGCACGGATGTGCAGGCTGGCCTTGCTCTATACTGGTGGCAAAGACTTTATGCTTTCGGGTCCAGCACTTAAAGGGTTAAAGTTATGGTGTAAACACTTTTAGTCACTTCGAATGCAAAGCAAATTAAAAAATTGTGACAAAAATGCTTAAAATATTTCTGTAAAATGATAAATAATTAACAGGTCCTTAGGCTATTTCAAGTTTCTTTTCATCTATAGTCTTTTTCTATAGATTTGACTATTTTCAAGCAGAAAGGTGTTAATTATGACATATTTCCTAACAGTACTGTAATACTGTGACTAATAGAACAGAATGGCCTATTTTTATTCAAATTCTTTAAAAAATATTTCAACACATAGTTTTTTTTGTCTACGTGATTGTCATAATGATACCTGTGACCGGCATTTTTGTCCCTTTACACTTGACTTCAAAGATGAAAAAAGACAATGCTGATATAATTAAATTGTGCTGACTAATACAATGTTTTGTTGATTTTATTGTTTGTTTTCATTTTCAAAATTGAAAGGATTACGTGATAAAAATCGTAAAGTTTTCTTTTTTGCAGAAAAATTGATTATAATCAAACTGAAATTGAAACCAGTATTTTATTGTTATAGAAATATTTTGATCTGAGGGAAAAAATGAGACAATTTTTGTCTGAAAAACAAAATTGACAAGAGGTTTTGTTGACATAATTAATGCTCGTTAAGGGAATTTGTAAAAAAATTCAATATAAGTCTTTAATTCCACTACTGATTTGACCAATTTTTCTTGCTTTACAATAATAATACAGTCAGCAAGGGTTTATATACACACAGTTAAAAGTATTACGTGTGTTTCACTTTCGTTGAGGGAAAAACGAACTTTTTTATCAAAATAAATCATTAAAGAGCTTCGCTTAAGTGTCATTAAAATATATATCGACACAATGACTTACAAAAGAATAACCTATATTTGACACTAAAAATATTTAATCTCGCCGCGTTACCGTAAACCTATTGTTGACACTTAACCAAGCTTCATTACACAAGTTTGATAATAACGGTATATATAGGAATAGGTAAAACCTCAGATACTCCTATACACATTTCCAATATAACACTCAACGGAACCAATTGAATGAATGGAATATACTTTGAGGTTTAAGTTCAATATGATCAATGTTTGGGCCGTAAAGATATTTGAATTAAGATTAAATATAAGTTCTCGTGTAGAAATTTAGCAGTACCACGTTCTTTAAATTACATGACATTGGGAAATGGTTAAAAGACTTTTGTTTTCGCTCCATTAGCAAAAGCTGGATTTATAATTTTCAAACTTAACTTATTCTCTGGGCAATATGTATTAGGATATACAGTTTTGGTTATGGAACGCTGAGTTTTATCTCTTTATGTTCGATTAATAAGCAATTTTTTTTCTAAGTGTTTAGTTTTGTAAGTGAAAAGTGTCAACATTGCATTTTTTTTTTTTCTTCAAAGATCGGAAGTATTCAGTGATACATATGTGAAATTTATGTGTAGAATAAAAGGATTAGGTTTATTCCATTGAGATTGGTTCTCGGGTGTAATTAGATATTTATCTATTGATAAAAGGAATTATATACTGCCCTACATTGTATTTAAGTTGTTACGAGTTCGAAATATATTAACAACTTTAGGGTCAATCTTGAAGCCTGAATTTACATGTCTTCCAAACGGTAAGTGAATTATATAAAAAAAATGTATTAAAAATATCAATCAACAAATATACAACAGTATTTCAATTCTTTAATATTTTGGTAATTGTATAAAAAAAATATATGCAATGATTGTTGTTGTAAAACAGTAATTTCATGCTTTAAATAGTAATCTTTTGCTGAATAACTAAAGTTTCTTGATTTATAATACTCAAGAACCACATTTTTTAATGTACATGTATAAGTTCAACATTATAGTTTTAATTAATATGTCATTACTGGTAAAAGCACAGACTGTGGGTCACACAGGCTAGTGTGTGAATTTCTCTACCAGCTATATTAATATAGCAAAAGCTTTATTGGATTTGGCCATATTGGCCATATTGTTTCCAATTAACAGTGTTGGACCTTGAGTGACAAGTTAATTAATTAACCCTTTGACTGGTTGCAGCAACTTATTCTCCCCAATGTGTCCAGTGCAGAACAAAATCAGCACTGTTTGCCACAGCTAGTAATATTTTGAATTTTTCCCTGGAAATGATTAATGGTTTTGCCCAGATTGAAAGATGGACTAGTTCATTTAAGATATTTAGTGAGCTTTACCATAAAACTCTTAAAACTCGTGTCTTTAAAATTTTCCAATATGACTCTGGAAATCATAAGTAGTAAAATTTTAGTCATTTAATGTAATAAATTACAACAGGAGAAATCAGAAAATAAGATATACCTATCCAATATCTATACCTATATTAACCAACATCTTAGATTAATGCTAAAGACTGGTTGATTTCTGTGTGCTGTTAAACCAACATAATTAGATTAATCTAAAGATTGTTTTACATTGACACATAATTATATTATACTCACAGATTTGGAAAGCAAGTATAATTATGTAAATATTATGAAAAAAATATGCTTATAAATTAAAGAGAGAAAAATCATTTCAGGATAGGGTACCAGTCAAAGTTCATGTGTCTCTTCATTAATTCCAGTGCATAGTTTGAAATTTTCCCTAAAACTGATGAATGGCTGTTGTCCTGATTAAAAGATGAACAAGTCCATTTATGATATTAAGAGCATTAAAGGATGAATAAATGACTCATCTTGGATTACTTATAAGAAAGATATATAAGAGTTTATTTATTTAGCTATAATATATCTATGTTCTTCATTATGGACCCATTTAGAACATGTATGAAATCTTATCATTTCCTTAAAGTGAGTTCAATACAAAAATGTTCTTAATTGTAAAACTCTTTCGGAAATCGGAAATCAGTTAACTACTAGTATATATTAATATAGCTATATTTAGAGCAAATGACAAAGTAAATATATATAACAGTTAAGTGATAGATTGTCACATATCTCACTGGTAAACTTCATTGCCTTGTATACTAAAGATTGAGTGTATACTGCTGGCTGGCCTGTGTTTGTTTACTTTCATTTGATCATAAAAGTTTAAATATAAAGTAGCTCTAAGCATAAATTACCAGCCATTGTGAAATGTGAAATGAAAGATTTGAAGTTTTGAATATACTTATTGAAACTGATGTTTGATTTATAGAATAAATAGTATTACATCTTAAATGATATATTACATGTATTTGTTTTACTATTCAGTCTTTAAGATGAGTTACAAAAAAATGAAAAAATTTGCAATGTACAGTTTTTTAAAAATATTTTTATCTTTTGGTCTGCATACTTCAAAAGGAAGTGTTATGCCTCCCACAAGGGATCTTCAGTGAAACATTATATAATTTTTCTTCTCTAATTAAGTATCTATACTTGGTGTATTTGAATTTGATATATGATTGGTGCTAGGTTGCCATCAGGCACTTTTTCTGTTTGATCATGTATCATGTTTGCACCAATATCAGTCGGTTTATATCTAGAGAACCTCTTAATGACAAATATGATGCTCTCCATGTTGAACTGAGCAGTGGGTGGTCTTCTTCTTTTAAAATTATGTTAATTATATACTTTAAAATAACTGTTCATGAAAGTTCATTTTCCTCTTTTAAAAATAAAGTTTGTAGGAATAGGTAAAAAATTATGTTTACATATTTAATTCTAGTTCATAACAAAATAAAATACCACTCATCATGTATTGAACTTTTTGGATGTCATTTTGCCCTGAATGCTAATATTTAAGTTCATGTCAACACGGCCCTTTAATTACAAACACAGAAGAAACTTACATGAGTTTCCAAAATATTTAAAAGAAGCTTTGTGTGAACATAATATGCTATTTTGTTTAATTTTATAAGTCAATAATTACGACTTGAATAAATATTAAATCAACTTTGAATATACATTTTAAGCTAAAACCACAAAATTTATATATTATTGAATTCATTTTGATGAGGTTTACCTAAGTGGTACTTATTTTATCCTTTCATAGAAGAAAAAATGAGTGTGACTACAAAAAGGATTGGAGCACCCCTCTAAATACCGTATTCCGGTATATACCGGACAAGGCGCTTGAACTATAAAATGCTAAAATCTTGCTTTTTCACCCAACGGAATGAACTTTAAAACGTCTAATTCATCTTTTCACACCGATTTATGTCAGATAATGAATGAAAAATGTAAAAATCGGCGAAAAAAAAGATATTTGTCTATTTTGTGATCATGATTTCTGCAAGCGTCTACAGGTACTGCTCCAATCCTGTATTGAGTTAAATCCAGAAAAAATATGTAAGAACTCATAATGTTGTAAAACTACAGTGTATTTTTAAACCTTTGCATGCAATTTAGGTGCCATTTATTAAAATAGACCTGTTTCACCTGAGCCAAATGCTGCCAGTGTTCAACACCATGCAGTATAACCATTATGAGGACTATTAAGTTGTCTATATTACAATATTGAAATCTTCTAAACAATCATTTGATAATTCAGTACATTAATTATAATATATTTTGTTTGTTTTTGCAGAGAAATCAAAGACCTTCAGCAACTTCTTGGTTACATCAAACTTACTGTCAGTCAGAAACAGGTATGTTAATTTCTCCCTGTATTTCACTACAACCTCTGCAGCGTGGAGACAAAGCTCTGAGACTCTCAGGTGTTGCTCCAGAGAAGTTTTATATACAGTATCTTTACTTTGTGTTGTCCTGCACATTAATTCTCTTCTGATTTTTTTTTTCAGAATCTATTGTTTATGAGGTTTAAGTGCCTGATCCAAGAATTGTTCATTCTTTTCAGTTCAGTTCTAAATGACCATCCTAGTTTGTTTTTTCCTGCTAGTTTATTTATATTGATGCTTTACTTACAAGTAGACTTTTGACTTGGGGTTAGTTTTATATAAGTCATAATTCTTTAGTGCATTATAGGAAGGTCACTGATAGGATTTTTAATGGATTTTTGACTTATTTAAATCTTTTATGTTAATCTGCTTATAATATCAAAGAATCAATTAAGCTTGTCAGTAAATTAAAAGTCTGTACCTATGTTTGCATATTTGCATATATGAGAAACCCCGCTTGGTTACAATTAGGGGGGAATGGTAAAGGTACGACTTTATTGACAATGTTCTTGACATCTACCTTAGCGTGGGTCAAAAATTTTACAATGACTGTTAAATATGCATTATAGATCTCAACAGTTTGTTTGTATATTTTTATTAAAGAGATTTGTGTATTTGCATAATGTCTATAGAATAAAGTCCAAGATGACTTTTAAAGGTCACTATAAGTGTAAATTTTAGTCATAAGAATATTTTTAGGTTTGTCTGTCGTTATGCATGTCATGATGAAATTCACTATAGATTTCCATATCACTATTAATTTTAAACCCTTACCAGTTAAATATCTTAAATAGACTAAACCAGCTTTCAATCTGGCCAAAACCACCATTTTTAGGGAAAATTTGAAAAATATTACCTGCTGAACTAGGTACACTGGGTAGACCATGATCTGACCGCACTTCAAGACTGAATGTTAAAACATTTTAACTCAATGTTAGACTCCAAATTCTACTGGAGGCTTAGGTAATTAATAGCCATTATTTTATAAAAATGGCACTGCCAAAGCACCTAATTAATAGGTGGCAGACCACACTTTATTTTCAACATTTCCAGTTACTTTACTCTCAGTTTAATATGGTCACTTTGGTAACGTATTTATCTATACATTAAAAAAAAAGTGTATAAATGTTTCAAAATATCACCCCCCAAAAAAGTAATTTTTAACCCTTGTTTTTTTTGCACTAGCTTACCCATATGTTAATTTCACATGGTTTAAAATCAGTACAGATCAGGAAATGTTTTGGAGAAATTGTTTTTATCAGGGTTTAAATTGGGTTTTAATTACAAATCCCCTGCAAAGTTAATGTGATAAGTACGTGAATTATGAAAATAAATACCAGTTGCGAAAGTGTATAAGGAAAAAAGAGGGTCACCAAATATTATGACATTTAAGTATCTCCATATCAAGTAGAGAGTGAATGAGTTTTGACAGGCAATAAACCTAAAGAACTTTTGAGAGCTTTCCATATCTTGTAGATATAAGCGTAAGTCATAAAAGTTTATATTTGTCCAAAAAACTGGAACAATTACAAGTACCTATTAAACTGCAACTCTCCCCACTTGATTATTTCCATAGAACCTTAATCGTATTTGCATTAAGGTTTGTTTTATGTATTTTTGCTTTTTAAGGAAAGGAAAAAAAGTGTGACCGTAGAACTTTAGATGACTCATGTAGTTCAGTACTTATATGATTTGCATATTTTAGATATTTTTTTCACAAGTCATTGTGGAATGATGTGTTAGATTTTTCAAGGCCCTAAAAAAACAAAATAACAGTTAAAGTGATGGTAAACATTTATTGGTCACTTGAAAATGGGTTGAAACTTCATGTGTTTTGATTAATTTGCCATTTTATTTACTTTTCTCACATTTTGATATACTCAAAGGGGACTTAAAACTATTTTGTTTTTACTATAAAATTTGATGTGTGAAGCATACACCTTTTTTGAGATCAACAAAAACTGTGCTAAAGTTTGTGGGTGATTTTTAAAACTGAATATCATCCAAATGGACTTGATTTTTAGCTCGACTATTCGATAAGAATAAGTAGAGCTATTGCAGTCACCCGAGCGTCGGCGTCGGCATCGCCGTAACCACTTATGTTAAAGTTTTTGTAATAGTTCAAATATTTTCAAAGTCCATAGACATATGGCTTTGAAACTTTGCACACTTGTTCACCATCATAACCCCAACCTGTAGACAGGAGGAGGTAACTCTATCAAGCATTTTGACAGAATTATGCCCCTTTTTCGACTTAGAATTTACGTTAAAGTTTTTGTAATAGTTCAAATATTTTCAAAGTCCATTGACATATGGCTTTGAAATTTTGCACACTTGTTCACCATCATAACCCCAACCTGTAGACAGGAGGAGGTAACTCTATCAAGCATTTTGACAGAATTATGCCCCTTTTTCGACTTAGAATTTACGTTAAAGTTTTTGTAATAGTTCAAATATTTTCAAAGTCCATTGACATATGGCTTTGAAACTTTGCACACTTGTTCACCATCATAACCCCAACCTGTAGACAGGAGGAGGTAACTCTATCAAGCATTTTGACAGAATTATGCCCCTTTTTCGACTTAGAATTTACGTTAAAGTTTTTGTAATAGTTCAAATATTTTCAAAGTCCATTGACATATGGCTTTGAAACTTTGCACAATTGTTCACCACCATGACCCCAACCTGTAGACAAGAGGAGGAAACTCTATCAAGTATTTTGACAGAATTATGCCCCTTTTTCGACTTAGAATTTACGTTAAAGTTTTTGTAATAGTTCAAATATTTTCCAAGTCCATTAACATATGGCTTTGAAACTTTGCACACTTGTTCAACATCATGACCCCAACCTGTAAACAGGAGGAGGTAACTCTATCAAGCATTTTGACAGAATTATGCCCCTTTTTCGACTTAGAATTTACGTTAAAGTTTTTGTAATAGTTCAAATATTTTCAAAGTCCATTGACATATGGCTTTGAAACTTTGCACACTTGTTCACCATCATGACCCCAACCTGTAAACAGGAGGAGGTAACTGTATCAAGCATTTTATTTACTATCAAGCACTAAGAATAGTCGAGCGTTGCTGTCCTACCGACAGCTCTTGTTTAAGTTTAATATTAAGAATTTATAACTTAAAGTTTAACCATAGCATCTGAATAGTGACTCTTCTGGAACCAAAATTGTTTAGACTTTGCATCCAGTATGGAGTGTTGCCTAAGTGTGCATGTCTGCACAGTCTGACCTATCGGGTATGTACTGTTGGTAACTCATGTTTTTGAATTTTGATATTGAAATTCCTTAATTACGCTTTGAATGAGTTGCTCTTAATTTAATGTGGGCCAATCCAATAGAAAAATAATTGTATGGTCAATAATATTACATTTGAATAACTTGTATTGTATCATAATAATATTGTGCTTTAATTAATCAAAGCCTCATTAAATTTTGTGAAACACTTTGTTTTTTTAGCTCCCATCAATAAAACAAGAAAAGAAAAATGGATCACTTGAATGTAGTCAGTGGCCTTCACCTCCTCAAAGGTCAGGAGGTCAAACATTGTCAGCAGAAGATACAGCTTTACAACAATTCAGGTAAGACTAAAAGACCTTGACCTTTAAAGGGCCAGAAGGTTGAACATTATAAATTGATGAAACAGCTTTTGTTCACATCACTTTTGTAATATTGGTAAATATTTTATGGTCAAACTGTCAGCATAATATGCAGTACCCATGCAAACTAGTGAACTTCCATATTTGGAAGTTCAAGAGGTAAAGAAGTTTTGTCAATGGCCTTGACCTCAGCAAAGGTCAAACATTTAAATTGTTTTTTTTTTCAACTGTTTATGATATTAATGAATGTTAATCAAGAATGACAATCTTTGACTGACTTGATGTATTATTTTGGAGTTTTGTATTTTAAAATATATGGCTGACATCGTTAAAAACCTCAATTTTTTTTAATGGACTTGTGCGTCTGACAATTTAAACAAAATAATTTTAAAAAATTAGGGAAAATTTCAAAACAAGTACTTCTGAATAGCCAATAGTGCAGACGATGATCAGATGGCACAGATAGCATGGGTAGACTACCAGGCTAAGGGTGAGCCTATATGATAAATGAAGTAAATTGCTTCATATTATCTCATTGCATCTACTTCACAAGATTTCTTTTTAATATTTCAGTTCAAAGTACCATGCTGTACGGAACTTTAGTCAGCATATACATCATGCAAAGTTCCTGGAGGTATTCTCCGCCTTGATTGAATATAGGCTATGTAACAGGTATAGTAAAATTTATTGACTTTTTTTTTTTACTTAAACATAATTATGTCAGACAGCTCAGATTTTCTATAATGGTGCCAATAGGCAGGTCATTATTCTTCATGTTCTTATTCTGTAAACATATATTATTGTAAAATGTTAAGAAACATTTTGTCATTCCTCTAACAAGAACTAACCATTCAACAAATGTTTACTTTATTATGTAAGTATGGAAGTGGACCACATTTAGAAATCACACAATTCTATTTTTCAGTGATTGGATGATGTCGGCGGCTCCAGAGAGTATCCTTCGCATGTTGATGTGTCTACGTATTCTCATGCGAGACTCCGCCTACCAGAAACATTTTTTCGCACAGGGCGGAGTCAAGCAGTTGTCAGAATATTTCAACAAGGCGACAGATAGTTACCTGTATTATGGTGACACTCCCTGTATGGTGGATATTCTTAAAGAAATGACCAGTAAGTGTATAAGATTATATACTATTTTAAAAATGCGTCCAAGTCCTCCAAAGTTACAAAGGAAAAAATTCTGCAAAACAGCAAATGAACTCTTTTTTTTTATAGTAATCAAGCATTTTATTGACACTATCTTGGGTGAGAGAAAAAATTGCCATTAGAAATACATTGCTGATTAATGTATCTTAGTACACTCAAAACTGAGGAGTGAAAATCAAAATTTGAGATACAGGAGTACTTATTTCTTAGTAAAAAAAGAAACAAAAAAACCCAAACAATTTAGTTACATGAATATGAAAATTCTTTAGAATTGCGGTATACTTCAAACTTCCCTTGTAAAATTAAACTGAAGTAGTGTTAAAACCATGCATAATACATTAAATGTGTGTGAAAACTTATTTAAAGCACCATCTTTTTTATTCTTTAGATAAATCTGTACTTAAATTATAACAAATAAAAATCTTATTTCAGATATATTCCAGAAATTGTCCTCGGTAATAGAGCAGCAGGAATGGTTGATTGCTTGTGGTGCTCACACGGTAAGGCATCCCTGCTCTATTTTAACCCATATCATGCTAAATAGCTTAAACAGACAAATACTTGGTTTTGTGACAAAGTCCTGTCACTTTGTGTGTGTGTAGCTAAGGTTTATAATTAGAAAACTGAAATGTTACAAAACTTTGTTAACTGTGTTAAATATTGAAGTATGTTTGTTTCCAAAACTGAAGGCTGTAAAGACATTTTGTTTTTTTGGCAGCTTTAAATGTAAAAAATGTCATTATGTTGGTCATATGGCAAATTTCCAGCTTAATTATAGTGATTTTGGATCATATCTTAGTTAAACAAAGTAAATTAAGTTGTCTCTATGCAGTTGTTTAATCTCACCTTTTTGAATTTGAGAGGCAAGAATAACTTGCTTTTGTCACATGTATAAAGCCTTGAATTCCATGTAGTGTGACCAGACTTTATACTCTTAATTCAATTTAACAGTTGTTTGTTTTTTTTATATATTTAAAGCCCTTATAATTTATATAGATAGTCTTGTATTAAAATCAGGACATGGCTGTTGGTGCCAGCCCTCATAGTTCAGTCGGTTAGAGCACGAGACTAGTTATCTCGACTTTGTGGGTTTAATGCCTGCGCTGGTCAACTAAAAATTTTTATCAGTCTTTCAGATGAGATTTTAAATTGAGGTCCTGTGTATGAGTGTTTAAAAACTTGGTACGCGAAGCTTCTGGAATTTGGGCATCTTACTGTATCTGGTCTTCCTCCAAATATCTAAAATGAGAGGACTTGCCTATATTGGCATCTGGTGGCGAGTATAAATAAACCCAAATACACACACAGGTACCAGCCAGGGGCAGTGAAATCAATTGTCCATATTGCCCAGGTCGTCCAACAGCCTGTACAGACAAGTAGAAATTTTCAAGAATTTACTATATAAATATCATACAGACATTAGTTAAGAAATGCATCAGATAAAACAGACAATTAAGTCAAAACCAGATTTTGCCAGCCTTGACTAGCTATAGCAACTTTTCTTGAAAGAAAATCTAAATATAAGATAGGCGTATATAAAGAGATAATAATTTGAAACATTTAAAAATGATTAAAAAAAATGTCCATGAAAGATTAAAAGTTAATTAGTGTTTCTCTCTTTTATTCAAAAGCAATTTAAACTCAGAATCAGAATTGAACTAAAGCTGATTGGAAATGTTCAGAACTGCATGTGTGTATGTTTGTCAGCACTTTCTATTGACTAATGATAAAGTCATGAAAGTCGGTTAAAAGATAAGAATCATTGTCTCCGATGTATAAATCAATATGGCACACTATATTATCACTTTTCTTAAATGGTCCAGCTATTAACAGGTTGTTCAACATGATCTGTCATACCTAAATCATTTCATATTCACTGCCACGTTCGTTTTTTAATTGTTTTCTTTTACAAATGTTGTCATATTATTGTTTTTTTTTTTCATTTTTTTTTTTTCATTTTTAGTTCATTTATATTTATTAAATATTAACAGGACTTTTTAAAGTTTTGAAGAATCAATTTGTAATGGCTTTGTACCAGTGTGCCACAGTGTGAAAGTTGTGAACATAGAGTACTTTACTACATTATTTTGCAATCTTTGAATACTTGAAGAATTATTTTCTATTTCTTATATTGTATCAGAGTGCAAAAGTTGTGAAAAATCGTCAGTGTGAATTCAGAATGATGTCAGTGTTTTAATATAACAAAACAATTGTATTTCCAGCATTTTAGATGATATTTGAAGTTTATTTTAAGTACCGATATATGTGAAATTTGTTTATTAAGCAATAACTTTATAAAAAGAAACATGATAAAATTTGGTAAAAACGTTTCAAGGTTGTTAGCAAAATGTATATTGATGTAGTTTGCTATTTATTGAATGACAGACTATATAAAAGTTTATACCAACCAGTCCTCACATGTCTTTTAAACATTTCTGACTCTTTTGTACTTATTTTCTTTTATAGATTTAACATAAAACTGTTGAGTGAAAAAAGTGGTTAACATTCAGTTTGACTGTTTCTATTAGACAGGTTGTTTAAGCCTGCATCAATTTTTGATACAACAGATTGTTATTTTTCTCCAGATATGTCACAAGGTTCATTGGTACTTGAAATGTTCACATCAAAAGACGTAAATAACCCTTCAGAGGGCTTTAGGTATAGAAAATCAATTGATCAATGTCCCAATGAAAGAATTTTCTTTTCTTGGAGATCAATCAATGGGATACCTGTTAAACACTAAAATCCAATTATGTCTGCCAATCCTTGCTGATATTTGAGTTTTTATTGTGGTTTTTATGTCCAAATACATTAGAAGCAAGAATAGAATGGATCTAGGACACCTCAAAATGTCATAGATTGCAATTTATTACTGGTACATTTTGATATAAGTAAATCTTCTATGTATACATTATATCAAACTTACCTTATGCTCCCTGTGAAGGGGATGTCAGCTCTACTGACATTAGATTTTCATGGTTTTAGTTCTCGGACACATCCATTGCTTATCTTGGACAATTTTTGTGAGCTTTGTCGTACATCTTTCCATATTTTCTGTGATGATTTTGCAATTGAGTGAAAAGGTCAAAATCCAACTTGTAATAAGTATTCATTATTTGTCTGCAATTAAGTAAATCAATAAAATGCTTACAATTGTTAGATATGAAACTTAAATGCTACATATCTCCTAAAAACAAACACATTAGCCATATTTTTACAGCAAGTTATTTTAAACGTTTAAATTGTTCATTGGAGGAATTACAGAATGTCAAGAACGGATGTTATTACACATAGTTACATGATCAATTATATTGATACAGTATCAATGAAGAAAAGTGTGATCAATTTATGGGATGTTTATTCACGATAGGAAAACTCTTTAATAATATTTTTAGTAGTTTTCGCAGAATTGTTTTATCGATGTTGACAGCCAATATTGGACTGGTAGTTATTAATAATAGACTGGGTATATAGATTTATTGGTAAGTTAAGACTGAGCAACCATATTAAACAAGCATTTAAATGAAATCAATACTAATAATTGAGTCCCAGATAAAAAAAGGAATAATTTGTGTGTTTTTGTAATTTACTTCATTTAATTACTTGTAAAACACTGCAGACAGAATTGTAGACTAAATTATTTGACTTGACCATTTTTCAAATCATTTTTCTTTTTATTATAATTTTTGTTACATCATATATAAGCTATTATATAATAAATCCCCACATAACAAACAAACTTTGACGATGCACAACCATTCACTATAGATTAGTCAACATCTTCCACTGATTTTGAAAGTTTAAACTCTAAAAAAAAAATTTGTACCCCCAGATTAGCTGAGAAAACCCAGACTATTCTTAATTCTATAGTGAGTCTACAGGCAGAAATTGCATTTATAAGTAGGTATACAAATACAAGCCATCTAGACATTGAAGATGCTAAGGAAATCTCAGTATATTATACTGACTAAGCAGTTTCTTCAGTGATCTAATTATTCCTTGAAAGGAATGCCAGCTATTTATTGTTTAGAGAAGCTATAAATGTTTAATGATAATTGATCTTCTTCAATTACCTGATTTTCTTTTTACATGCACATATAGCTAGCAAGCTTTCTTTAAGCTGTAGAACATGATGGCAATTGGTTTACTGATCTCTTCTCACTATTGTCCTTGCATTGGAAATTGAATTTTTATGCTACATTTATGATACTTTGAAGTTATTGAATTATGTTTTACACTTTTTAACAAAATGAAAACAAACTTTTCAATAGGTTTATTGCATTTGTTTTAAAATTCTGTGGCAATATTCATTTAAGTCAAGTTACAGACAAGCACAGTTAGGAGAAAAATTATTCTAATGAGAATTAATTAATCTTATCATGCTAATTATCTTAAAATTTAATGGACTTGTCTGTCCTATACTCTGAACAAAACCATTTCTAATTTTTAGGTAAAAAAAGTTAAAATATATGCTGACTGAATAGCAAATACTGAGCAGACCATAATCAGGTGGCACATTAACGTGCCTGCTAATATTTGCCTGTATGGGTCCCATTTGTAGAAAGCCTCAAAACATTGTTACCAGTTTTGTGTTACATCACTAACTTTCGGTAAACTATTTGTTATCAAACCTTTTTCTAATATACAAAATACATGTACTGATTATAAATATAAAAAAATGCGGTTGTTTAAATTAATTTCCCATTTCCATTTTTTAGTCAGGCTTTATTTGATCTTTTTTGAGCACAAGATAAAGTTAAAACTCATGACCAGGAGATAATAGCAAAAAATTTCCCAAAAGGTCCCTCAGTGCTTCCATACATTTGTCAATTGAGGTCGCATATTTTTGTGACAAAAAATGATGTGATAGTTTAAGTCACTATCTCTGTAACATGTCCTATCATGTATCAATAATCCATTATGAGTGCTTTTATTATAACCCAAACAACGTATTTCGGAATGTTTATACTTTAATCAAACAAAACGTCAAAATCAGCGATACTCTGATAAGCGTGGGAGTGTTTGCCATTAACATCTCGCAAATGTATATAGATTTCCAATCAATTAATAATTAAAGCGGTCACTTTTCAAAGGATCAGTGTTTAAAATCAATAATTGCACTAATTGATTACCTAATGCATTCAGATTTATATAGTAAAGGTTCACCCGGTTTGAATGGTATATAAATGCATTATAATGCTACACAGATTAAAGGCAACGATTTGAATCCAGGGTTTTACAATGTTAAAAGGTGGCACAAATATAAAATCACCCTTCAGTGACCAGCTGACTATTTCTAATATAAACAAGATTTAGCGTAAACATGAAAATTAATCGTACAGAAAAGAAATTAAATTCTATAAAATCAGTTAAGTTGAAAATACACGGGTCCAAATCAATCGTATTTAATTATATAAATCATGGCATTTGCTTTGTATGTGTTTGTATACAAATAGTTTCTTTCATAGAGATTTAAGAATGCTTTCCTTACTGGTGGGAATTTTTCCTTGATAACTTTACATTGATTAATGGATTGTAATAGATATATATAATCCTTTAGTTTTTTTTCCACAATATAAATATTTTAGGGGGGATTTGTTTCTTTAAAATCGAGGATATATTTCTGTAAATTGTTATTGAGAAATCTTGCAAACTGTCACGTTTTGAATGTCAGCTTTTGTTATTGGTTTTTGATTGATTTTGAATTTAAATCATTTTTGTAAATAGATCGTATGTTATTTCTGACAGATTTATGAATATAATGAAGGTTTGATGACCTATATTATAATATTTGTGATTTTTTTATAAGAGGTTTTTTTTGACAGACACAGCCAATTATTCTCTTATTATTAAATCACTCCCCCCTTTGGACACATTTATAAAATTGATGTGACTGACCTTTTAGGTGGAAGACCCCAAGAAATATGATTTTATAATTTTAATGCAATTAGGGCTTCTGTCATTGCAAAAAACAATTTGGATTTCCAAGGTCAGAAGGGATCATAATAGAAGGTTTTACTTGGTGTTCTGTCAGTGAGAATATTAAAATTCTATTTATGAGAGGCCAGCATTCGAATAACCCTTATTCTGCTGGCAGGGACATATTCTAAGCAGACCAAAATCTGTGAGTCGGCATGCACATCCATGATCATGGTCTACACAATTGTTCAAGTATTCTTAAGTCCTTATTTTGAAAATGTCCCTTTATAAATGAAGAATAGTTGTAATTATTTTGATAATTTACCTATAAATGAAAGATTGACAAGTCCATTTAAATAATTCAGTGTGGTTAGGGAAACTAGAGTTTGTCAGGTTAGACCACATAGACATTCTGGCTGATCGAGCTGTTAATTACTCGTGTAGCAATTATATCTCTATTTGTATCGCTGCCGGTGCTTGAAGGTTATTTAATTATAGGTTAACTTCTCAAGTATCGAATAAATCTAAATAAAAATGATCAAATGATATATCTTATTGTATTTTACACGTCTGTAAGATCTTGATATATAGAGGATATTTGTTTAGTTCAGTGTAAGATCGGAATATATTTCACCGAGTGAGCACCAAAAGGTATATTTCACGAGTGGCGCAGACACGAGTGAAATATGAACTTTTGGTGTTCACAAGGTGAAATATATTTCGATCTTACACTAAACTAAACAAATTTTCTTTTTATTATATGCAAAGAAACGTTATAAAAAGACATTAAACCTAATACTGAATGAAAAGCGCGCCAAATAATAATACAACGTGACGTCTTTTATTACGTCACATCATTAAGTTGGTACCCAGTTCTGTGCACGCTGATATTTCACTGAAACAACGTAAGGGGCTTAAATTCAAAACAGTGAAATTATCAAAGTGGTAATTTCACTGTTTCAAACAGTGAAAGAACCAGTTTTAAATCACTGATATATTTCTATAAACCACCGAAAAGCATGTAATAAGATATGCTAACACTTTTTCACCAATATATTACTTATTTATACCACATTGTATTTTGGCATGAAATCTGCAAGTAACATTGAAAACCAATCTAGTTGTCAAAGACTTGTTTATGTAATTATACAACATAAGTAATTAAACTGAAATATTTTGACAACCCGTATTACAATATTGAAGAGATCTGGCTAATACTTCAGCAAAATTCGCTTGTTTATCTTGAAATCAAATTATCTGTCTTTTTCAGAAATTGTTTAATTTTATGTTTATATCAAAATTTAGGTGAACGATTTTAAATAGACGCAAAGGCATTTTAAAATAAAATCATGTCAGGTGACCAAGTTCTTTTGTGTTAAATATTTGACCTTTTTGTGTACAGTTCATTATTTATTACCTGGATAGAGACAAAAGAACCTCTAAAGCTGAAGAGTCAATATGAATGTTTGTCAATATTGAAAATAGAAATCATTTTGTTTGTTTCGGTATTTACCTTGCAAGTTGATGTAAATATAGAGAGGGTATCTTATCATTGGTATAATTGTGAAGATTTAACACCTCAGGCATGTCACAAAGAGATTTATGGTGTTGAGGTATTATTGTATTATAAAAGTCATGTCCGGCATTGTTGAGTTGTAGAGAAAATAAGGAATTCCATTGTACCTGATTATTCCATCTAATACCAGATACTGTTTTAAATTAATGCAGAAATATTAGTCAATTTCCTGAAGGCTAGTGATTGCCCTGGAAAGATTCTTAAATGTGTAGATTTGTATAGGTCACAGTAAAACCCATGCTTTGAATTAAGAACTGTTCATTAACTTTTAGTCTGCTGTTCACAGCAGATTCTACATGATTGGAACCTAAGTGCAGACAATATAAATACATATTGGCTTTCAATACACATGTTATAATATTAAAGTGGTATTCAGCTTTTATTTTCTGTTTCTTTTCAAACTGAGTATTTCAGTAAAAAAAATTTGGAAAAAAGCATCATATCACTTTAAGCCTTCTTCATAACATCATCCGGAGAGCTATTTATATCAGGACCATCAGAAATGTTGTTTTCTAGCAATAGAAGATCGGGAAACAGATTGTCTGCTTTACTAATTTAAATATATTACGTGTATAATGTGTAAAATAAATGTATGATAAATGGCCAATAAATAATATTGTACATGTATATTTATATATTTTCAGTCTCTGGTGTTACTGCTCTCATCCAATGATGTTATAGTGTTACACTGCTCCCTCCTGGCTCTCATCTGTTTAGCTCAAAGGTAAATCATATATCTGATACTATTCTGATGCCAGCTCGTGCCTGAAATAATGCACTTACAGCACCTTGCATTATGTCTATATACGACAGTAAATAGGACAAATGGCTGTACGGCTGCTGCTGCTGTTGTTGTTGATGATGGTCTTATACCCCTAAATAAGGGGTAAGGTCTTAATTACGCCTAAATGTGTGAAATGGACTTGCCTTTCAAGTAATTCGGAATCGAAATATTAAAATGACAATAATATTAAGTCTGTTAGATGTATATACATGTAGACAGCTTGCTTTGCTGTACCAAGTCGGAAAATCATGTCTCATTTGTCTCACATAAATTTGAATAATAGAATAATGAAGGTAATCTTTCTTTTTTTTAACTTCATTGAATTGTTTATGTTCTAGAATGCTTGTCTAAATTATTATTTCTCTTTTAAACATTTTAAGTTTATAACAGAAAGAGGCATTTACTTCAAAAAAGATCCCGCTGTGGTTGGGTTTCGAACTCATGCTATAACCCCCTTATACACATAAGTAACAAATGCTCTAGACCCTGAAACATTTGTCAGAGGTTGTATTTATAAGTATGTGTGCACTGAACCATGTAATTTTATTTCCAGTCCACAACCGAGGTTGAAGATCGGCGATTTGAATTGTGTGGAACAACTGCTTCGCATCATCCAGGAGTATGATAATGTGTCCAAAAAGTAGGTCGAATTGTACCTTGATTACCGGTATCTGAATTATAAGAATGAAAAAGAATATAGTTTTTGATACAAGTCTAGAGTTTTTACCTTTGTCTTTCATTGGCTGATATAGAATATGAATACAATGTATTCAAATTGAATCAACAAGTATAGACAATGTTTAGACTGGTTTTTTAAAAAAAATCTGTGACCCAATGTCAAGATTTTATGATTGTGTCCATTTAATCACAATGTTACAAAGAAGTCATAGAAGCTTATTTAAGTGCAATAATCTGTAATAATCTGTATTTTTATAATTGTTCTTTGTTGCATTAATGACTTTCTAAATTCAGCACTGAAATATTAATCACTTTTCCCCAGATTATTCTGATAATGTATTTGTGACTAGTTGTTTGTCAGAGAATGATGTAAAATTTGATAACTAATTACGCAAATTTTATAAAAATTTAAATTAGTTTTTGTCACTAGATGCTTTAAATTAATACAGTTTAGTGGTTATAAGATTTTTTTCAGTGAAGAAAATCATCCCGGTCAGTTATGAAAGGAGATAAATTTTTTATGCCCTTACCATTATGTTTAACAAATTATATAGGAATATTTTCATTAATCCTTGCCAAGCTAAATATTTTAAATGGGCTTGTCAGGATAAAACCATTTGTCATTTTTAGAGGAAAAATAAAAAATTGTGCTGATTGAGTAGCGAACAGTGCAGACGATAATCAGACAGCAAAGATGATCTTGGTCTGCACTTGTCAGATGGGTAGAATCTATTGCGGTTTAATCACATATTGCATGTTATATTTACAGACATGCCACTCGTCTTCTATGCTTGCTATGTCAAGATATGCACACACGAGACGAGATCAAACTGCATGACGGTGTTCCTATACTGCTCAGTCAGCTTGTGTCAGACAATGCTAACATGTTATGTCAGGTGGTCTGGTGTATTGCGACATTATGTGTTGACCAGGAAATCAGTAAAGATGTAAGACAAGTAGGGGGAATACCACTACTGTTGTCATTACTACAGTAAGTTAAGTTTTCTTGTAGGATAATGTTTGCTTCATATGCTTGCCAATGCCTTAAATACAGTACCAACTAGAATTGAGACACTGCCTTATAAGCAGTCAATCTTATCTGCAAGTTAATATTGATAAGGAATTAATATTGGTATTTAAAATAACTGCATGACTTAAAGAGAGAAATTATTCATTATAATTGATATAATTATTATTAGCATTTTGCTGATCAGGATGTATGTGATGATGGTGGTGCTGGTGATGATGACTGTGATGATGCTAATGATAATGAGGATGACAGTTCTGTTCTGATATACTTGTATAATGTGCCTCTATTATTTTTACTTTGAAGGACTGTATTTTATATATTTGCATGTTTCTTTTTACAGTGAGCGAACATTTGTTTCTGAAAGAAATGAAGCAAGTGGATGTGCTAGTGCCAGTATTCATAGCAGGACCTTAACACAGGATGATGTAAGTAACCAATCAGAAGTCTTGTTACAATGTGACAAGTCATGTGATCGTTATAGCAACCAATGTTTTACATTCAGTTTGAAATTTCAATCAATTCTTATCAAGGGTTATTTTTTGGGGTCTGAAAAGAAAAATCAATTCCTGTGACAGCGATTAAACACATGAATTGAATTATTAGAGATTACAAATGTTTGTTTTATAATTACTTCAGGAATTAGTGTTGTTTGCCTAAATATTTGCAATGATTTAGCAATTGATTTGGAAAGATAAACATAATGTGTAACATACATCTCTATTGTCAAACTTGAAGTTTTCTTAAAGTTCAAACATTATAAGTAAGATAAGATATGGTGTGTTTTTTTCATTGATAAAAAAAAAAGTCAAGACATTTAGATATTGAAGAGAAAAAAGCTAATGTTGAAATTTTAATTTGTAATGCAGGTGTTTGATTTTTCTGCACAAACAAACAAAGCCCCTAAGACAAAGGTATACATCTTCATAGTCTGCAGTTGTTAATGCTGAGTGGCACTTGTTTATGATGTTTTTACTGATCACAAGTCCCTGTGTGTTTTCATGTCATAAGCAAATCACAACCTCCTGTGTGCTGTTGTTCTCCATATTGCATCAAACCATCATACCTTCATACCCGAAAATCAAACTATTCTTATACTTGAACTGTTAACTGTCTAACACCAACAACAAAAAACCCCAAAGCTGTTCCCCTATGTGACACATTATTTTAGTTTGTCTCTAAACTGGGTCAAAGCAATATGTAAGATGTCTTGTGACTTCCATACAGTGAATGTAATAAGAGTAAAGATGTGACATTCTGTTTTCATTGTGAAGTTTGTAATTGTTAAACCATGGAAGTTTATTTACACCATAGATTTTTTTATTGAACAGAATTTATTTGAATACAGGGAATACTGTATGGTTAAAAATATCTACAGTGTGACCGATAGATGATCTGTCCTAGCAAAATCCACTGTGGGAGAAACATTGACCATTGAATTTAATTTTATAACTTTTGGTATTTTAGACTTTTATATTAAACAGCAGTGAAATAAAGTTAGTAGAAGCTACTGATTGTACTGGATTATACTATATTATATTTATTATATGAATTTTGATATCCAGCAGCATTGCTACAGGAAATGTATTATTTTCTATATAATCATTTCAAAACAAACAAAAATTAATATCCTCAATATTTGATACAATATGTTAGTACCAAATCATCATGATAAAGGGTTGGTTTGCTTTAACTAATACAAAGCTGTGATTTATGTGTTGCAATAATGTCATTTCAGTTGTCAGTTCAATTGTCTTTTTATTTTAATAAACCCTTGAGAATTCTAGTGACAAAACACACTAAACTTCCAGGGTAATAATTAACCTTTACCCTACTCTACTTTACCCCATACCTTTACCAATAAAGAGCCAGGCCAGCCTGCACTTTCTAACATGGGAGATCAATTTTGGTATTTTGATATTGATTTATCTTTGAGTTCCAAATTCAAAGCAGGGTAAATCCAATTTACACAGATATAGAAGGTTACGGGTTAATGGTGAACAGGAAACATGAAAACTCCAAACAAACATTGGAAGTGTAATATATTGTTAGTCACATTTGTAGGACTGACTGTGAATTTAAAAGAAATAACCATCTACTTAACCCCTGGTTACTTTAAATCCAAAAAATATTGAAAGGTATTAAATGATGCAATACCACTTTGTAACTGAAATGCAGAAACTAATCAAAATGCTGCATGTTTTATTGAATGACATTTTTGATAATGATAATTAAAAGTCTCCCATAATTCTGTGTATTTGTAATCTGTGTAACACAGACCTCTGCAAGCAATCTCGTTTATTTGTCTCCTGAGGTATGAACAGATTAGTTTTGCTGCTTTTTGCACAATTTTCTACAGTTTTAGATATAAGATTGAAAGTACATGTATATTGGATTGAAATTATTGAAAGCAAGAAAAACATGATTGTGTATTTATACTGTTGAAATGTTGTAATATTGGAGTGAAAAATGTATCAGTCTTAATCTTAACTGACTTTCCACTTACGGTGATTTAAATCCTTTAGTTATGTTCAGAACATTGGGTAAAGATAAATTGATATGATAATATATACCTGCAGTAAACCTTGTGCTAATGATCACTTTCCTTTTTTACCCATTTCTAGGCTGAAGAATTTATGGAAACACAGTACAAGCTGAAACAAGGTAAGTGTTGTGCCTTTATAGTCATTCAAAACTTTGAAATACTTTGCGTTTACTTCAAACAAGTCAATATTTTCTTCTGAATGTATTATTATTTATACCCTTAACTGGATCTTTTCATTCCTTTTAATATGGCATTTTATGTTTCTAAAGATACTCGACCTAAAAGTTCATGGTTTTGATGTAGTGTACAGTACCTAATGTGAGGGGTAAAAAATCATGATTTTGTCAGAAATTTAGCTCTTAAGCCTGCTGGCAGCAACTGATTCTACCCATGCAAGTGGGGCAGACGAAGATCACCCCACACATCCATGCTGTCTGATCTCTTCAGTAGCTTTTTAGAAAATTTTTTCTTAAAAAATGATGAATGGTTTTGTCCAGATTGAAAGACGGACAAGTCCATGTAAAATATTAAGATTTGTAAGTGTTAAAAGAACATATTATTTGGTTATTTCAGCATGTTGTGGGGCACTAGCAGAACTTGTCCTCAACGACACCAACGCCCAACAGATTGCCCAGACTAACGGAATATATACAATTGGTTTGCTGATACTTCCTTCATGTTCTGACTGTGGGTCTCGGGAACGTAAAGCTGCACAGTTATTGCAGGTACGAGGAAAACTTGTGATCACTTCAGTTTTGTGTCTTAAGTTAACATATAATCAGTCTTACTCCAATTTTTGAAATTTGAATGGCTGGTTAAATTGTTTTAAAATTATCTCTAGATCACAGTAAGAAATTGACTTTCAATTAGTGATGTTAAATATCATATGGCAGGTATAATCTGATCCAAGATGTTTTCATTCTTTGCTAGGAAATTTTTCATGTAACATTTCATTTTTAAATTTAAAAAATCAAATTAGATTGAAGAATAGTGTTATAAGACTGTGAATAAGAGCAAAAATGTACAATAACACCGCCTCCGTGGTCGAGGGGTTAAAGTCGATGACTTCTTATCTAGTTACCTCTCTGGCGTGGGTTTGATCCCCGGGAGATGCTTTGGTAGTTTAGGGCGGAGGAAGGTAGTCTAGTACTGATGTAACTCTTCAGGAACGATGGTTAGAAAACTACCCGCCTATATGACTGAAATACTATTGGGAAAAGGCGTAAAATGAAACAAACAAATTATTTTTTGTCCTTTTTTCAGCGTTTCGCCTTTCGTACTTTGAGATTCTTATTCAGTATGGAGAGAAATAGACGTCTGTTTAAAAAATTATTCCCGGCGGAGTTATACACTATGTTTATTGACATTGGTCACTATAATCGTGAATTATCGGCCTATAAACCATTAGTGCAACATATTAATAGTTTGAATATGGATGTTATTGATTCCATACGTGAGAACATGATGGAAATGAATCAGAACAGGACGCCCACGCATTATATCAAAGATTATGCAGTATTTGAACATTTAGGCCGTGGGGCTTTCGGAAGTGTTTACAAAGTGAGAAAAAAAGTTGGTCAGACTTTTGTGGCATTAAAAGAGGTGAGTTAATTTGTGAAAAATAAAAAAGTACATTCTTTGCTTTTAGCCATTGAAAATTATTGAGTGAGATAAAAATAAATTTGCTTCATTTGATGATATTTCCAGGTTTTCAAAAACATGATCCTACATCACTTGTATGTTATCTAGCATTTCTCTGATGAATTTATATACACATTATTTGAATGAATAGTTTTTGTCATTATATCTAAGAACTTAAGACGTTTTGAAATTTTGAAACAGTTATGAAAAATTACTTGTGGTGGCTTGGTCAAATGGTTTACATATCATACTAGTAATCTAAAGATTGGTGTCTGTATGGGTTTAAACCCTGTCAGGGGCAAAACATTGTCTCCTTGAGCAAGAAACGTAACATTCATTGCTTAGTGCTGGTTGGGTTCAAGATTGTTTCAGTAAGCTTATAGCTTCCAACGATAAAAAAAAAGAAGTTTCGTATAGACTTAAAAATCCTTCAGTTACCTTCCTTTGGCATGTTGGTTTAAAAAAAAGATCTGCATAAAACTAATGTGTGTGTTTTATTTTCTTGCTACAGATTGATTTAATGAACCCAGCATTTGGAAAGAGTGTGGATAGAGACAAAAGTGTTGGTGACATGATAAATGAACTTCAAATTATGAGGGCAGGAATACGTCATCCAAATATTGTACGCTATCATAAAACATTCCTAGAAGGTATGTACTGTCAAGAAGTGTTTGCTTTTTATTGACTTAATGATAATTTTTTTTATTGATTATTCTTTATTATGGTATATCTTTATTATGGTATATGTATGATAAATTCATGGATGTGATTGGTTAAGCGTTCAATGTGAGATCTATAAAATTTCATATTGTCTTGCAATTTACATCATGTTTAATTCTTTTTAGCTTTACCCATGAAATTGTTTTTATATTTGGGTATTTTTGTTATGATAATTATGTATTGTGGAACCCCATTGTATCATGCTATTCATTGTATTGATCTATTTACAAATCTTTTGATTTTTTGCAAAATACGTCACCTACTGATTGTTAACATTTACAACAGTGATACGAAAATCTTTCGCATTTATTTTTGTGCAGTAAAATGATCAAAAACATGTTTCCAGTACTGTAAGACGTTGTAGATAATAAATAGACTTATAAATAATGTGTTCTTATTAAAAGTACATTTACTGTCTGTTAAAAGTTCCTAAATTTATGCTGAGATTTTAAAACAGACATCTATGTTTCTAATTGACTGAAATATCTAACATAAAGATGGTTAAGGCTTCCCAAACTTTGGCTAACTGAGTGATTCTCACAATGCATCAATATAATGGCGTGACCTAATTCTTCAACCTGTTTGACATGTCTGTAAATATCCGTATATTCCAAACCAAAAACTATATATCAGTGATGTTTGCCATGTAAATATTATGGCAAAAGGATCAAAATAAATGATACAAAATAAATATTCAGTGAGATTTGAATTTTTTAAATGCAGTTGTGATTTATGGGTAAATAGATCGATACAACGGGGTTCCAGGCTACATCTGTTTCCCTGCCTTGCTTAGTGATATTGACGTAGTCTGGGGTCATTGTATGGTTTTCTAGCCTGCTAAGTGAATAAACATCTGACTGCGACAATGTCACTTAACAGGTCACTATAAAAACAATATATTGACCCAAGTAGAAGTAGTTTAATAGTATGTTGTTTTAAATTAATTGTTTTAGTTTACATAATTTATATTATTTTAGAAAACTTAAAGCTTTTATAACCACTGTCAAGTTCACTTGACAGAACAAGTAAGTACTGATGTCATGACCCCCGCAAGATTCAAATCATGTGAACTAAGGGTTGACAATATGCACCTTGGGTTGAGAGACATAAGGCCTTAAACACAAGGCCATAACTCCCTTGATAGTAACAAATTTTATAAGATATTTAATGTTATTGTTTGCTGCTACTACTTTGAATACGGTTAGAGATGAACACCTTTAACTGTTTGTAATGTACAATTTGAAAGAGAATAGTACTGAGAATGAAATTTTAGGCTTTGTATTTCTTTCGAATACGTAGATTTTTTTTCCATCTTTGTACATTTCGAGACTTTAAATTGATTGTAAATAATTATTTTTTCAGGCAATACTTTGTTTATTATCATGGACCTTATAGAGGGGGCGCCACTAAATGAACATTTTAATTCCTTGAAGGAGAAACGAGATACCTTCTCAGAATCTAGAATATGGAATATTCTTATACAGGTAAAGGTTGCAATAAATTGAAGACTGGTTAAGAAAAGTATCAAGGCTTTAGGTGACAAGAGAGCTATAGATAGTTACTTCCTGTGAAACTAAAGTCGGCTGATTTAGTGAAATGGATTTGTCCAGTTTTGATGTGGAACTGTCCATTATGAATTTTAAGTATTGAAATCATGACATTGGTCAGCAAACAGCATAAATGCTGGTTAGACTTGAAGAAGTGTAGGCTGACCTAATTGTATACTGGTAGCTAATGTTTGTGCCTGTCGTAGTAACAAAATGGTTATTTTATGGTTAAAGAATTTGACAATATGATATTATGTTGTGTTTGGATATATAAATTGATTTTAAAACAACACTGAGCAACATATTTTTCTTTCCAATATTTTTCTTTCCAATATTTTTTGTCTTAGAAATATACTACATCTATCTATTGAAAATATAATCTCATTTTTCCATTATTTATTTACAGATGATTCTTGCATTGAGATATTTGCATAAAGACAAGGGAATTGTACACAGGGATCTGACTCCCAATAATATCATGCTGGGAGAGAACGATAAAGTCACCATCAGTAAGTTTATCTGGTATTCAAATATTCTAGGCAGTTAGCACCATTTGCCAACAGTATAGAGATAGGCCAGCTCGCACATCTGTCTGAAGTCTGACCAGACCATATATCGTTGGCAGATTAACTTTATTTATTCATCTTGATTTCCCAAAAATTGATGATGGTTTAAGTTCCAAAATTGGAAGCTTGATAAGTCTATTATGCAAATTTAGCAGATAAATGGTTTAAAGCAAATACGATATATATATAAATGTATAAATATATGTGTTTTTATGCTCCCCGAAAAATTTCGGGGGAGCATATAGTCGGCGCCTTGTCCGTCTGTCCGTCCGTCCGTCCGTCCGTTGTCTTGTCCGGAGCATAACTTGAAAACCCATGGAGATAATTTGTTGAAACTTCATACACTGGTAGAGGGCATTGAGGGGGAGTGCAGTGTCAAAGAACTATAACTCTATTTTGCCCGGTTTTTGAATTATCTCTCCTTATAGAAAAATCTTGTCCGGGGCATAACTCTAAAACTATAAGAGATATCAACATGAAACTTTGTAGGTGAATAGATCTTAATGGGTAGATGTGCAGTGCATAAGAACAATAACTCTTTTTGTCCTAATTTTGGAGTTATTGCCCTTTGTTAATTTTAACACTTTGAACTTTGTCCAGAACATAACTCTAAAACTATAAAAGATATCAAGATGAATTATTGTAGGTAGATAGATCTCATTGAGTAGAGGTGCAGTGCAAAAGAACCATAACTCTGTTAAGCCTCATTTTTTAATAATCTCCCCTTTTTGAAAACTCTTGTCCAGGACATAGCTGTAAAACTATAAGAGATATCAACATAAAACTTTGTAGGTAGATATATCTCAATGGGTAGATGTGCAGTGCACAAGAATCATAACTCTGCCTTGCCTAATTCTGGAGTTATTGCCCTTTGTTTATTTTTACTTTTTGAAGTTGTCGGGGACATAACTCGGAAATCATAAGAGATATCATCAAGAAACTTTGTAGGTTGATAGATCACATTGATTAGAAGTGCAGTGCAAAGAACAGTAACTCTGCCTTGCCTAATTTTGGACTTTAAACTTTTTCCATGGACATAACTCTAAAACTTTATGAGGTGTACTTTCCTGTGTCCAAAACCTATTCGGGGAGCATCACCCGGCTCAAACCGGGCTCTTGTATTAAATCAAACATGAAACAGGTTTTTGTGAATGGTCCTTGACATTAAAGGAGGAGCTACTGCTAAACTTTGGTAGGCAGCAATTAAACAATTTTTGTTTGTTTTCTGTATTTTATAGTTTATTTTAGATATTTATATTTACTCTTGATTTATTTACAGCTGATTTTGGACTTGCCAAAGTTAAAGGAACAGATACCAGCAAAATGACTTCTGTATGTGGAACTATCCTTTATTCATGGTAAGATTTTGTTTAAGTTAGAATTTATAGGTAAAAAGTTGTTGCTAGAGACCTACTTACATAAGACATCATATGATTAATTAAATTGGAGTATTTTATGTATGCTGATTTTTATTGGCTACTTTTATATGTTATTAATTTACATCTGTGTGGAAAAACTTTTGCTCCTCACTAAAATGGAACAAATTTTATGTGATACTTTTCCATTTGGTAAGAATTTAATATTGTAATGAAATATCTTTATACAAATAAAAGTAAAAAGTAGTAAAAATGAAATCTGTAGTTTGAAATAATTGCCATTAATCTGAAGGTATGCTCGTTTTAAAGTTTGTTTAAGATTATCAACTATTTTGCATGTATACGCTACATTTAAACCACCAAACTTTAAACAAGCAAAAAACAAATTTATGAAGAGACTACTGAATGGTTTAACAAGATTTTATTTTCTATTTATAGTCCTGAGATGGTAGAAGGTCATCCTTACGGAGAGAAAGCAGATATTTGGGCACTAGGTTGTATTCTGTATCAGATGTGTGTCCTGGACCCACCTTTCTTCAACACCAATATGCTTACTCTAGTCAAAAATGTAAGTACTGTATTGGTACTTGTTTTTATTGAAAATTCCCATTTATTTTCTATGCAAACATGTATGCAGGTCTCTAAGCATGCTCATACATTATTCAAAAACTATGCAATACAGAGATACTGTTTTTAGACTCTGCACTTTTCCATTATGAGATCTATTGAAACATCTGTGATGTTTAAAATTTATACATCCGTTATGCCCAGCTCATAAGCTAACAATAAATGGTAAAAGATATGCTTTGAAATTTAATTTAGATAATATTTACATTGATATCCAATAACATTTTTTTCTGTCAAATAAGAAGAATGATTTACCCTCATTATATTGGCTGTATATATATAATATTTATACAGTATTTGACACCTTATTGCACAGGAAAGAAAATCATGAAATTGAGTTATGTTTTAAATTATAGATTGTTGAAGGAAAGTACAAGCCTGTGCCAGATGGATTATATTCTCAAAGACTTGTAGATACTATCAAAAGGTTTGTTAATATTTTATTTCATATAATGCAGTTTTAAAACCATAGTGGCATTGTCCTTTTGGAAATTATTACTAAAGCATTGCATGTCTTGAGATTGTTTCCTTTTCCTGTTTACTAAGATTTCAGCATTGTTCTTTGGACAAGACCTTACCATTCAACTAACTTGATATTATAGTCAATCCTCAAGATTATTTCATGGATTATTTTTGCTGTCAGGGTTTTGTAGTCATTGTCATGACAATGTAATCATGTGTACAAATACAAGATAAAATTACCATTCAAACAATAATATCCCAATACATGTAAATCATCTTGAGAGTTATTATTATCATGGATTGCTGAATAGTTTATATATTTTATTTATTCTTCTGTTCTTGTAGTTGTATTTGTCCGTCTGCTGACAAGCGACCAGATGCTGTACAGTTGGCCGGGGAAATGTCTGACATGATTCTACGTCACATGGATTCCCTCCAGACGTCACAACTCACCCTTGAACGTAAACTAGACAGAGAGAGAAAAAGAACGCAAAAGTAAGTTTTTTTTTCATCAGAGCATTTGTAATAAATTTACTTGACTTTGAACTCTTTTGTATGCAGAATGGCTCCTACTAGCTAAGAAAGTAAGTAATGACTTTATTTAACGAAGCTTACACATTTGGTTTCCCGATCTTCCATGTGGGCCTCAGCTGATGTACACAACATAATTACAATATATAAACAGCTTACATGTACACAACATATATACAACATATATACACAAATGTCATATCAAAATAGATCAATTAAATTTAAATAATGAGTAATTAAGCAATAAAATGATATGATTGTACACCAACAACAGACAGTACTTTTTAAAACAATATTAATACTAATAAATACACATGAAGCCTTACACCATGAAAATTCAAATGATACCATTATCAAAATACATACAGGCTCATGAGTTATTTTAAAATATAACTAAAAAAAATAATTTTAAGTTCAATCAGATTAGGACATCATCATATTGCATCACTGAATTTAGGGGAAAATATGTATGTAGACAACAATCTTGAATGGAAAACACAGGTCCAGTGAACTATAAAAAATGTTATTTACAGCTTTACTTACTTCTTAGACTTAAACAGTATCTTAATCTTTATTCAAGAAAACTTTTTTAATGCATACATACTGCCACACTTGGACTACTGTTGTACTATCTGGGGAAACTGAAGCAACGGAACAGCATTTTTACAATACTAAAATTGAGTGTCATTAAACAATGTCTGAAAGTCATCTGTCTTAGACAAACTGTATTGTATGACTTGACTCTTTATTAAAATTTAACCATAGCACACTTGATACATTTGACCCCCTCCCCCCCCCCTTATTGATAATACCTGTCTTGACACTTTTTAGTTTTATGTTATAAATGTTAAATGATATTTCTCGATTTGCTCTGAAATCATATCATAAATGAACAATAAAATGCTTAAAGAGCAGTAATACATTGTATATTTAATTCTATAATGGAACATTAAGATCAAGAAAATAAAATAACAACATTTTTGTTTTACAGGCACTTTGAGGAAGCCAATCGAAACATGCAGAAGTATCATAAAATTTGTCACATAACCCAGGAGCGTTATGAGAAACTCGCTAACCTCGGTGGCAGCGGTGGGGCGTCTGGATTTAAAGATGGTAATATGAATGATAGTGCCTACGATTCACAGATTTCTCCGTTAGTAAACAGTCCTGAAGATACAGAGCCAGGTATTTATAGATTTGTATATACTTGAACTTACATGTGCAGATAACAATTAGTCTCTACTGTAATGAATTAGATTCATCGGGCATACTTTTATGTAGAAATTTTTCAAGATGTTTTTATTACTCTCCATCAGAATTGGTGCACTATACATTTTCCTTTGGAGAAAATGAATTTGTGGCTTGAATTTCATCTTTCATAGAATTTCATATGGACTTACAGTAACTTTGAATTTTTAGTTGTTTAAATATAAAAAGAAGAACCATTTTTATAAAAACAGAAAAAGAAAATGCAAAACATTTTTTCAAATCTTTTTTTTTTTAACAAACAGGTGGTTGGTCGTCTGATGATGATTCATGCCCCAGTAGTGAGTATGAGAGTCAGAGTCGTGAAAGTAGTGCGGGCAGTACGCGCAGCGGAAGTCATGGTCTGAGACGTAACAAGACCATGTCACAGTTACCTCCAGTACCAACACCTAGAAATAGAGATAACTATTCCCAACAACTCACTGTGGATATACCTAATAGTTGTTAGTATAAGAAATGTATTTTATAAATAAAATTGCCAATGATATTCTATGTATAAAAAAAATATATAGAATTATGGAATCAATGTAATAGAAATGTTTTAGGTATGTTCTGTTTTCCCAAGCTGAACATTACAAGTAACACAAACCCTTTTAAGTCTTAATTATTTCTAGATTATCGGAATTTGGTCAAAAGTGTATTGAAGTAATAAATGTAATTTTTCGGTTTTATGACTCAATTCATATTGTAGATAAATGTATTTTCATTTTAATCATGTATTTATTTTTCAATTAGATTTTTTCTTTCTTCCTTAAGTGATGCTTATGTTAAATAAATATTCAAGAGGGAAAACATTACTGTGAAATATCCCGTATATGATATACAAATCAATATTAAATTAATTTATTTTACAGCAAAAATCAGCAGAGACTCAGGTTTTGGTTCCGGTGACCCCAGTCCGGTTCAAGGATATTCACCAAGTCTGTCCAACGGAGAACACCATAAAGAATTTTTCCGTTCAAATAGCTCCCCGGCACCAAAAGGACAAACAAAGAAATCGAAGACTAGTAAGCGACCTAGTAAGTGATGACAAAACAGTTATTTTTGTCAAGTTTTAGTTAAAGAGTTTACTTTGACAAAAAGTAATTTCTGAATCAAAATGATAAGAAATAATCTATGTGCCAAAAGTGCACTTTTCAAAGAAGAATGGGTGGTTGTTTTGATTATCTTAGTTGAACAATGATATGTTCTGTTGTATTCTAGATTTTAAACAAAAATACTGTATGTTACACAAGATATTTATTAGTTATATAAAAAACATCATCTGTCAATAATTTGAAACTTGCAAGATATGCTCAATTTATGTATTTTATAATTTCAGAGGCACTGACAATTTGAAATTCTTATGAATTTTTTCATTTCTGTTTTAGAAAGTGCAAATACTTCTACATTGACAATATCAAATCGTCGTGTACGTCAAATCAGTGACCCTATTACCCAGATGTTACATACGCTACACAAAATCATATACATATCTCAGCTCCCTCCAACACTTGACCCGAACCCCAGGCGAAGAGTCATTGAGAGGTTTAAAAGGGCTCTTTTTGGACCACAGAGTTCATCATTTAATTTAAAGGGAGAACTACATAAGGTAAGTTGGATCATTTTATGTTAAACCCATTTTAAGAAACTAGTGTGTATAAGTGAATTGAATTGAATTTATAAATCATTTTTAATTCAAGAAAAGATTAACTTCTTTTCTGGACAGTAAGTTTCTAAATTAGATGATTCAATTCAAAATATTTTGAGATACACATAATATGCACTTTAACCAAAGTCCATTCTTTATTAATAATGAGTATATAAGGTTACTTTTGTAATATACTATTTGATATCAGCTTAATTTTAGTTGAAGTATATAATTATTATTTGATTGCATTTTTGTTTTTTCTTCAGTTGAATACTGGATCAAGAGAGATAATTGACTTGAACTTTGGACCAATAGGTGAGAGACTGAATTCAGCAGGTTCTGACTTGAGTCTCGGTTCTAAAAGTCGCAGGGGCTCATCATCTAGTCTCAGTTCTGCTGATGGTGGTCAGATAAACACTTCTCAAAGAAACACTAAATCTACAAGGGAGAGAGCCGATTCTTTGCGGAGACGGCAAAATTCATCTGATCGGCAAAGAGTAAGTTCCGCAGGATCGGATTCCGACTCCTCGATGAGTTCAACTCTGAAAGCCACGACGCCAAGAACATTAACTCTGGATTTGTGTGTTACACATCTGGATCACGATGACAGTATTACATATGAACAATTACAGTCTATGATTGAGACTGTGCTGGTAGAATGTGGGTACTACAGCGTGTCCCCACAGGGACGTGAAAAAACTCCACCACAAGGAAGTTTCATTTCAGAATCTGTAAGAAGTCGCTTAATGGCATCATCACATTTAACTTAGCTATAGGCACAATGCCTCTTACATTTATTTATGTGACTCATTCCATAACTACATTCCAATCAAAACAACATCTGTGGTTATGTGATAGAAAATGATTTTTCTAAAAAATCTTAAATGACTTAAAATGAAGATTTTATAGCTTAAAAACAGTTAAAAAAACTGTTGTTTATGTGTATAAAGTGTAACAAAAGGGAGGTAAATGTTACAATATTTTTGTTATCAAAATATAGTAGTTGGTTACTTCCATTGATAGCTAAAAAATTATCTGATTTGTTCACTGTTAAAAGCATTCCATTTGTTGATTATTGTGCTATAATTAGTTTATATAAAGTGTTTGCGCTTTCACATATTTATTAACAAACTTGTTGCCTGTCTTGTTAATATTTTTTGTTACCTATGGTGAAAAATATTTATTCATAAGTTTTGTATCTTTAAAAGATATATATAGTAATAATTTATAGTAGATATTATTTTGAGAATGAAGCTCTTTTTGATTTAATCAAATTACTGTATATATTTTATGATTTTACATGATTCCCCACCACCACCCCCAACCCACTGATTTTTTACTGTATTTATATAAGAAATTACAGTTTTCAAGCTTTAAACAGCTTTTTTAAACTAATTACATGTAAACCATTACACTGCATATGTAACTAGTTACAAGCCAGGGAAACATGCACATTTGTGCTGCCTCAGATAACTGTATAATTTTACCAAGTTTTTAATTTTTCATTGCAATATCCCTGAAATTGAAAATGAACTTTTACAAAATAATAAGCTGGACAATTTTATTTGGGGGAATTCTGCATGTTACGGCTTATGACTTATTATATATTTAATTAATTTTAAAGAAATGCTGTGCAAAGCTGTATTTTTGAGTCCAGTCAGATATATTTAATATGTTTACTTTTTGATAAGTAAAAGGGTTTTTTATTTTGTTTTTAAAAAAAACTTGCTTAATTATTCAAAGAATAAACTTTGTTAACAAAATATTGAAAAATCTTGTATAATATTCATCATATTTATAAATAGCCTTTTTTGTAAATTTCCACACTGACTCTGGGTGAATTCCATCCAAGAATGCTTTTATTAGAAGTTTTTAGGTCTTAGCTTTTAGTTTTAGTTTATATGAATGCGTTTTATTTATTTATTTATTTATTCCATCTACAATCAAAGATTTTACACTTTACAGAAACCGTCCATAAGAGTTTTGTGCTTTTAATTTTATATTTATTTTTGACATATATGATTTTAAGTATTAAGTGCATGTATCTATTAATGCTTTATTGACTAGAGACAAGATACTGTCTTGATTGGCGAGGTATAACTTGATTTACTGCTTTACTGCAATATTGCTTTATAAGAAACTGCTCATAATATAATGTTTGCTTATCATTATCAGAGACATAGATAACTGTTATCTATGTCTCTGTCACTATATACATCAATAAATTCAAAGTTCTATTATTCCACTTGACGTCTGAGATGATAATTTCTTGAATTTAAATGTAAATAATTTTGCAAGACACCCATTGACAGTCTCTTTATGAACTATGTAAATAACCGAGGTATATCGAGTTAAAAAATACGAGTTGTTTCCCTTATCTTTGAGTAAAATCAATATCTCTAATGCTAAAACAATACAAAATTTGCCGTATTTAAAACGCTAGTTTTGGGCGATTTAATTTCAGATTTTAAAATTTATTACACCAATGAAAAGTTGGTGATCTTTGCTACGTCTCAGTATATATTTCAGCACATTGTTAGACGCTACAGGTATATAAATTTACATTTAAGTGTACCACAAGTCAGACCATTTTACTTACGTTTTATACTGCTGTTATCTTTACTCACAAATCTACTGATAAGAATAGCCTGTCGTCTGCTTGTTTGGAAACTGTCAATTGGTGTATTAAAGATGTGTTTACACAGCACGTATTACCTCCCCTGGCAGCCATTTTTAAGGGTCATTTTTAGTATTTCTTATGCTTATGACGAGATGAAATATCGCATTTTTTTTTCATTTTCATGTAAACTAATATCCTCTTTTAGAAAGTGATGTAATGATAATATTGTCCTTTACATATAATAGAAAATAGACAATTCACCTTAAACAGCTGCTTATATTGCTTTTTACATATATATTTTGCCAATTATATTTTTATAGAATATTGACCCCCAAAATGGCTGCCACATTTGGCAAGGGAGTTAACTTTTGTAAAAAATGGGAACTATCAGATGTACAAATGTAGCTTATAATTTGCCCGTTATCCAGTCCTGTGCAAGGCCTGTCCGCACATCTTTGACTGACTTTAATTTTGTGACGTAGACAAACCAGTAAAATTTGTAATAATCTGGTCTTAATTTAAATCACTTTTGAGAATTTGATATGCTTTCATATTATAAATACAATTCTAAAGATGCCTATGTATAGCTTGAAAATTGAAAAATTATTTTGTTAGAAAATTTAGATGAAAAGATTTATGTATATATTTTTTGGCCAGTGTTTATTTTATTTGGTATTATTTCCAAAACATGACATGAGATGAATATTGGTTCTGTAATTGGAACACTTACATTATTCTTTATTAATAATTAAGTAAATTGATAAAATTATCACATTAAGAAGTTAAAATTAATGATAAAACTATCGAATTAAAATGTTGAAATTAAAAAATCAATGACAATTTTGCATTAAACTGTTTGTAAATGAATTGATAAATTGATTACAGTTTACTGTATTGCATTAAAAAAAGTAATAACTCAATGGCAATATTGCAGTAAAATCATGTTCTGTTGAAACTGATTAAATAATGTTGTATCAAAACTGATTGATACTGGTCACTTCTCTAGATGTCTATGAAGGTGAGGTTTTTCCCCCTGCCTTATATCAACTTTGACAAGTGCCACTTACTATAGTCATAATTTATTTATTGTATACTTTGATGATCAAATTGTCTCAAAACTAAATCCGTCCATTCCTTATTTGTCTCGTTTTATTTTTTAAACAGACATTTTATATACAAACATGATCATACATACATTCCTGTATTGTTTTTATTTTTTATTTAAATTTTTTATGTTTTCAAATATATTCTTTGACTGCTTGTTTACTTAAGACACAGATTTCAAAGAAATATAGATGTCTCATTTTTAAACTACATTTGTACTGTATATTTGATTTGAACAAGAGTGATCAAAAATTGTGTTAACTTAGTTTAAAACAATAAACATGTACAGGACCAACAGGTTGACAAATGTATTATGTACAATAGTGCACTGGGACACTATAACTGTAAAAGTTTGTTTGTACTGGGAAATGAGCTTGAAAAAAACACGATTGCAGAGTTCCACACAATATCTTTTGATGGTGGATACAGTTATTTAAAAAAGCAGGGCATCTATTTTACAAATAATTTTGTGTTTTAAATATTTTTATTCTGAAAATTCTACTACATTTTATACATTTGCCGATGGCAGCAGACACATTCCAAACAAACCCCCATAAAGTTTATGTAAATTATGCAAAAAGAGATTGAGAGATTTATTTGATTTAAGAGTGTTTAAAATTCATTATGTTTTTGTTGTCATGAAAAATTCTGTTAATAAGCAAGCACCTTACTTGTGTTAATGTTATGATACTTATAGATATCATTAATGAAACACTGTACAATGTAAATATACTGTTCAATTATTGCCCAAAATTCAAAATAAAAATTTGCACAAACATGTTATAACCACTTTGTTGATTTGTGCGATATTAAATAATGAAGGAAGGATAATAAATTTAATCTTAACACTGACTTTGTTTGATTTTTATGCCCTCCAGCATTATATGAGTAGGGTTTGTCCGTCCATCAGTATGAATATAAAAACAATGAAATCTCCTATAATGGAGATTTAGCATCCTAAAACAAAATCCCTTAATTTAGATAAAATACTTTAGTAAATAAATGAACAGTTACCAAGTCAAGGCAATATATTAAGTTCAGTTTACAAAAACAGTATGTTAAAAGTTAAGATTAATGAACTGAATGAATCTGCAAAAGCATACTACTTTAAAATTCTCCAAAACCCCTGCAAGGCATTCTCATCGCAATGTTGTCACACAGCAGCAGGTAAGTTTATTTATATATGTCTTTTAGTACAGTCATTAATTCATTTTGTAAGACTGTTTTATATGATATTATTATAATAAAATTTATTCAATAATCCGATATGTTATCTGTAATTGTCTTCCATCATTATGAGTAGTTATGCTAGATAAAGCTTAATTAGTTAAACAAATTATGAAATGAACATATTGTTTGTATGCTACCTAACATTATATTAATATGGTAAATTAAGATTTTTTATAGTAGTAAACTTTCAAACTAAATGTATTATAAGTTATTTAACATTTACCAACTGACCTACTATCCTATCATTATCTCATTGGAATGAGCATGTTTTACAGGAAGCTGTCCTGACAATTTCACCAATATGATATTTTAAACACCTAAAACAACAAATTTTGGCCAAAATAATTCTGCATAGTTTTCTCAGTATAAATAAACACAAATACTAAACACTTAAGGGAAACAGCAACATTGATGATTGTTACGATCTCTGTAAGCTAAGCATATAGCTTATAAAAGAAGTCCATGTGCCAATAAAAAAACACACACACACACACACACACAAAATAAACAGAAACACTTATTAAATATGTAAAAAGTACTTTTTATTAAATCAGTAAATTATAATAATTATACACTTTTTTTATCACTAGATGTGTACATGTATAAAATAATATATTCTATCAATTCTAATTTATCATAATTCTCAAAAATTTTACATGGATTCCCATGATTATTAGATCTACTTGATTTTCTCATTATTTACAAGTAGAAAAATTGTAGAAAGAGGAGGTCCCTTTGGAGCAAACAAAACTAAAACAAGAGGTGAAAATCATTAACTTGTATTTCATCAAGTCTGTCCTTGACAGGTATTGAAAAATGCAACAACTCCTATGTCCCCTAGCATGATTTAAGCAGTATTAATTCAGTCCCTTAACACTGACAGCTTTGGAATCAAAGATCCTGATATTACAACACTGAAATGAAGGCTCAGCTACATAAACTCTGGATAGTGACTGCAGTTATGGTGCAAAACATAATTATGTCAAACTGACGTCTTCTGAACCACAAATGCATCTACCAGTATGTGCTCTGTTTTAAAAATATCATTGTCTGTTATATGTTTAAGACAAAATGTCATCTGAGTTGTAATCATCAGTCATTGTAAACATGTGGGCCCATTTTAGCCAACAGTATGAAGGCATTTAATCTAGCCATGAATTTCGTGAAACACATCGAGTGTTACACGCTCTCAGTATCACATGAAATTTGTGACCAAGTCTTCCCTTAACAGGAACAACTTGTACTTTGTCGATATCCCATACATCTTGAACTTGTATTTGACTAAATAGTTGATTTTACAAGGTCAGGTTCTTACAAAGATCTGAAGCATCTAGCATGATCATTTCTAGAAAATGATATGAATGCCTAAGACAAGTAATAAATAAATGATCCATTTTATAAGATATGTTCTTGATTCTTAACTACAGTACAACATCTACAGAACAGTTCCCAGACTTTAGAATAAATCTTTCCTCTTTACAGTAACACCTCAACAACCAAAACCTTCACATTAAATATATAGAGGATATTGAATGAGTGTTAGTTCAATACTGAATTTATTGCACGAGTTGAATAAAATTATATTATGTGAGCCTCTGGCGAGCACGAATTTAATATTCTATTTATCACATACCCAAAATAAAGACCGTTTAAAGTGAGATAAGAGTCATTTTTCATTGACGTGCCTATAGTATAACGCTAACATTTAGCGCGTCTTTACACAATGTTTGTATACCGCTTATGACGTCACGTCAAAATATATGCACGGCCGTGCAATACCATATTTACGGAGTCGAAAATCGGCACGGGTGTGTGATAAAGCAAAATAATGAACATGTATATAATTATTTCAAAGACAAAATAATTTAAACACTTGTACGATATTTCTGTATCAAAAAATATTTCTAGTTCATGTTCCATCAAGTGCAAGACCTTCAAAATACATGTAAGTTAACTAACATAAGCATTTTAGCAAGATCATACATGAACAAGAGCTGTCAGTAGAACAGCATACTCAACTATTCTTAGTGCTTGAAAATAAAACAAGAGCCTGGATAATGTAGAATTTTCTAAGTTTTGGTCAGACTGTAAAATATGAAATGAATTTAGATTGATTATGCATTTATCAAAAAACATATTTCATTAAGAAAAAAAAAACAACAACCAAATTTCAAGACATGAGTTGTGCTTGACTATTAAATGAAGAATTTTCCAAGTTCAAAAAGGATATAATTCTGTCATAATCCATTAAGAGTGATGGGCTTTTAAAAGTGACCTCCTTTCAATAAGAGTGTGAAGTTTCAACCAATGCATTTCAGTAATTTTGGAGATACCAACTTGCATGCAAAAAAGCAATGACAAAGCTGACACCTGGGTGTGTACAATTAAGTTCTCCCTTTAAAGTGGCTCCAGACAGAAGAAATCTAAAGTTACTGATATTTTATCATAAACTGGGAGCAAATCTTATAAATCTTTCTCATAAACTAAATTGAGAAGTTTTCTGCTTTAAGCATACAAATGTCTTCAACCATTTGCATAGTAAAGAACAACTAAGGAAAGAAAAGAACAATATGAAACCTGGTCAACAATCAAACACTGAAGTAGCTACCTGCTTTAATTCAGATAAATATGAGACAGACTCTGAGAAAGAAGTAAATGAAGATGATACAAATAATGGAAAAAGAACTGCGCAAGATGAACCAGGTACTCATCAAAACAAGAAAAGAAAATGTGCTTCTCCTTGCTTCAGTCTCAGATCAGAAAATGACAAGTATGTCAATGATTTTTTATAAAACCAGGAATGGGAACTCTGATATTCTTCAAGAACTAGAAGACATATTTGAGGACAAGGAAGAGACAGGGACACCAGTGTCTGACAGATAAGCAATTAGGAAGCGTAAATAATTAAGGTCAATAATATCTGAACCCGTAGGACCTCAAAGAAAAACATAAACAACCAGCCAATGTGGCAAATTTGCAAACTCTTACAGTGGAGCAGTTAATTCAGAGGGACCTACTGAGTATCAAAAAATCTAGTGTGCCACTCTCTTTATAACTGAACCATTACATTTCAGAAGGATATTTAAGATATTTATGTCAGAGAGATGGTTTTTGATTGTTTAGGTGAAATTTGTAATGAAATTGAAAACAAATATTACAAAATGTAAAATTATTTTGAATCTATCTGTAGCAATATTCGAAAAAGTCAAACTAAAAATCATTATTTGATGTGCCATTCTTATATCAAACATGTGAAATAATTATGCCATATGAAAAAAACATAAAAACATTTGCAACTGGTAGGCCAATAACTTGAAAAGGTTACTCTCTTTTAGGCGTTACACAGAACAGCAGCAAATTAGGAAAAATGTAACAATTATTACATTACACCCTCTTGAATGCTAAGTGGTGATAACTGACTTGTAGTCTAAACGCAGCATGCCTCCAGGTTCATGCAAATTTTCATGAAAATTTGGAAGTGAAATATTGTGAATTGAACAAAGACATTAACTAACACATTGCAAACAGCGCTTACAATCCACTTAAAATACCAAAAAGAGGTCAAAATATGCAATATAATAGTCCTTACTCAGTAGAAATATGGTGATAAATACTGCATAATTAAATTACAGCCATTAATCATCCACAAAATGTAAACTTTTACTTGACTATTGAATATTTTTACTTTTCTGACAATCTGAGTACATTTTTCTCAAGTTAAATTTTCTTGAATTATTTTGGTTTATCTGAAAGCATGCAGCTTTAATCCAAAGCAATAAAAATATAAAATTTGAAAATCATATGTAATTATATCAACTAGTGTACATAAACAAAAAATATGAAAAAGATAATAAATATTAAGAGAGAATTGGTATTAAACATGATTCTAAGCCAAATTTGAGCTTAAAAGCTTTCCATTTTCTTTAATTTTATTATTTTATTGCAACAAAAATTATTCTTCTGGAAAACTGAATAAACAAATGACACGAAATCTGCACACAAGCCATTGGTATAGACCTACTATACATGTACATAAATTGGTTAAAAAAACTCGAAAAAATAAATCCAGTTCTGTTATGTGAAAAAATCAAAGTGCCATCCTGATTACCAGTTTCAATCTTGAGAGACTCACAGTCCTTTATCAATTTAATGGATTTCATGATCAATATAAAAAGATGATGTCACCCAACAGTGTGAGCCAGTGGTCAAACTGCAAGGACATGCAAGCTGGTCTGACTATAAAATGCTGCAGGGTAAAGGTTTTATTTACTACTTGCAATTTATTTGTGCAATGAGAACATAAAAATCCTTCAATCGAACAATAGACAGTTCAAAAGTCAAAGCAATCCATTATACAAAGTTCTCATGGAAGTGTTTACTAAATCATGACAAAAGCTATACAGTCAAAATAAAGATATAGAGGTGTTCTTTAAAATACAAAAATATTTTCAACGAGCATAACACTGTTGTTCAATGTTATACCTATGTTAACCTTATATTATTGGATACATGTATTTTTCTCTTGTTTCAGTAATTTTATAATGTTCAACTTATAAATATTGAGCTATTTTTCACTTGTTTCTGAAACAGTGGCATTATTACAAAAGTATTATTCTATTAGTGATTTTTCCAACTGCTCTATGTGGATGTAAAGTGATTCATCTTTTTTTTAAGTGGATGCCTTTATTATATAAGCAGTTTTTGCAGTACATGTATATGGCAGTATTTCAGGTTATATGAAGGTCTGAATCTGCCATTTCAAATGTAACATGGTATACATATATATTGCTAAATTAGAACGAAAAGTTTAGTAAATAATGATTATTATAGGCCTATATGGTCAACTATAATCACCATAAATCAGTTATAAATGTTAAAACATATCTGTAACTTTTTTTACTTTTGTTAGAATGTTAAAATGATTCTCAATGCTTCCAGGAGTATCCATAAAAAATCTAAATTCTCGAACATTTGCACCCAGTGCTTTCAACTTTTTAATAAAGTCTGCCTCTTCTCTTCCAATCCATCTTCTGTTAATACATTTAATTTGGTATGGTGTTACAAGAATATACAGTTTCTTGTCTATATTTTTAATATTTGCTAATACTTTATCATCTGTGATATAAGCCTTGGTTCCACCATTATGACCCCCATCAAGCCAATAAATGGCAGTAACTTTATCAAGAAAAGTTGTAACGTCCTTATTGTCTTTAAAGTGATCTAGCTCATACATTAATTGATTCAGAACAACACATCCTTTGCTAAAGCCCAGAATTTTCACTTCAGCATCATATGAACATACATTGGAATTGGCAGAGCACACTCCGTTTACATCCGACTTTCCCTCGTTCTCTAAAACCAAGGAATACAACTGTGCAAGATGTAACAAAGCACCAAAGTCACTTGTGAATTCAGGTTTGCCATCCTCGTCAAAGCCCAGGAAATTTTTGTACATGCTGAAAGTTTTGAGTAACATTTCCGATGGCTTAATTACAAACACAGTCGAATCAGGAAACTGTGATCGTAAAAGTTGTCCTGTACTCTCTAAATCCCATTCTGCATAATGTTTGTTGGTATAATGACTTTCCATATTCTCTTTGTAATCCTGAAAAGTTAATATAATTATATTGGTAAGAGATTATTCATTTAACTTGAAAAGTAATACCAGAAATGTACATATAACCTAGTAATTGTAACATGGAAAATCTTAGTTTTGTATTGTAAGAAAATATGAATATATATATATTATTATACATTATATACCTTCAAAATGATCATTCAATAAATGAATAAAAGTATCTAAAATTCTTGGATTCAAATTACTTAAATTATAACAAATTATACAAAGAGAATGTAGGGTTCACCCGGTGTAAGTGATTCAGTTAGAACTAAGAGGGTAACTGATTGTCCTCATATACAGTAACAACTTGTCCATTGTATTAGTTTAATAATTTGTTTTTAATTTATAACATATGCATGTATAATAATTATATATTTTTAATCTTATTCACTGACATTTGTTTAATGATTATTGTAATGAATACTTATGTCTGTCAAGAGAAATTCTTGACTTCTGGTATAAAATAAAATATTATTATTCACCACATATCAATGATATTAGTCAACATAATTAATGATAGTGATTATATGTTATGTGGACAAGTAATAGGACACATGTTTCAGACCACAGAAGAGTTTGTTTGATTGGGTTATTATGTCACATTGACACAGTATAGGTCATTTGTAGACGTTCCAGCTTTACAAGTGGAGTAAGATCTCAGGTGGTCTTCCATGGATTATTTCAGGCGGGAAGGGGCACCTGAGTAGAACCACCAATTTTCTGTAAGCTAGCTGGATAACTTTCTCATATATAAATAAAAAATCCAAAGTCCCTGTCCTGATTTGAACCCACAGCAGTGAGGGGCCCACAGGAATTTCTGTCAGATACCCATTTAAACGTGGGTAGAGTATATTTCTTGCTCAATAAAACTACCTGTGGTTTAGCTTCAGGCCTTCCCTCCAAAAATGAAAAGGCAGACAAAAGCCCTCCTGTGAAAATAAAAAACCGGGGAAAAAGCCCCCCCATGTGTGACAAAATTGTCGGAGAACAAAAAACATGTTGAAAAATTTTTATAAAATAACTCATTTAAAATCTAGTAGGTTTTTGCAACCCCCTCTCTACCGCTTTTTTTGTGTGCCCTTTTTAAAAAAGTGACCATGCAGAGTTAAAAAAGGGCAAAAAGAAAGAAATACAGTTGACCTAAAAAATGCTTACTTTCCAACAGTATAAGACAGTCTCCCACCACAAGTTATTTCTGACTTACATGGCATGGGTTGATTCAATTTAATAAAAAAAACACACACACCGAGTATGAAAACAGAAATAATAACAAATAGAACATCTGGACAAAATAAATACTTTATTTATACCTGCACATCTCCACCAAAGAATATAATGTGTTGTTTACTTGTAAACAACTTCTCCACCCCACATAAAACCACATCATTGAATCTACCTTCTACACCCTCAACGTTCAGCAAGCGCTTGCATGATGCTTGAGACGAAGATGTTGTAAAGCTATTTGCCATTATGAATGAAAATACAAGAAATGCGCGTATTTAATCTACTCAACCTTTGAATTCTGAACATTTGTATCTGATTGTTTACATTTTGACATCCAAACGTCTAGTGAAGGAAAGTTAAACGATCTCAATCCACCAAACGCTTTCAGAGGTGAAGGTTGAAAGTTAAAGGTGAAGGCCGCGAGTAACAACAACAACAAAATAGTGTAATCAAGGTAAAGACAATTGAGATTTTAACCAATTAATTACATTTTAAGCATAAAAAATGTGTATGTCATTGAAAAAAACTTATAATTTTAGATGTTTACGTGACATACTTTTATATTACTCATTTTATCAGTAATTGTCCAGTGGTTCAGTGACCTTAAAATTCACGATTTCGTACATGATAAATTTCGGCTAGTTAAAAGTCAAATAGTTTTGTGTAGCAATAATCACTCTTTGATTGAAAACAAAATTGAATATTACTTTAAGTATAATTGTGCATTAATTATTGGAAGTGGATAGCCGTACGGGCCCGTACAGCTAGCCAAAAGTTCTAGCCATACGTGAGTCACGTACGACTAGCAAGGACACACTGTATTGGCTAGCCGTACGGCATTTTCAAAATTAGATGGAAGTCGAAAATGCGTATGTTATTTTATGACTTTAATCGAGGATTTTTACTTTTAGAGATTAATCGCCGTGTTGGCTACAGTAAAAAAGTACGAATATCGATCTTTAAATTGTCATCTCAAGACGTTGGGAAAAATAGCGTTTGGTCGCAGTTAAATAACATCAATTGAAATGGTTTACAAACTTTTGATGATAATCCATTTTTTTTTCATTAAGTTTAATTTTTCGACACCTTTAAAATGAAAAATTATTGTTGTTGGTCCCTGAGTAATTGCGTCAATTACCGTATTATGGAAGTTTGTCCATCATTAAGGAAAGTTTGCATATTCCGTGAAACGCATATTAACATTCTATTGTCAGTCCCTGGGTAGGCTTTAATTAAGGCTTATTAATTGATTGTGCTTTTATGTTCGATATTTATCTACTGTATTTGAAAATTATACAATTATTTTTGCTTTTCACTGTTTTTTCAATGTTCTTTTTATTTATTCCACTCCGATCATTATTTATTCGATCCATGTGCTTAATTAACAAAAATTCAGCTTTCATACAAATAAAACAACAAATCATAATCATGAGGCACAAAATAGCATACATGTATGCATGTTTGACTTCCATATTATTTTGAAAAGTGCCGTACGGCTAGACAATACAGTGAGTCCTGGCTAGTCGTACGTGACTCGCATACGGCTAGAACTTTTGGCTAGCCGTACAGGCCTGTACGGCTAGCCACTTCCTTTATTATTATTGAAGTGGTTTGCTTATCTTTGGTTTCACAGTGGAAAAACTAAATCACATTTTAAGTGTTTGATGTCTTGCAAGACTATTTGATAAATTAGTTATGTACCATACCTTTAAATTACAAGCACTGCCTTCTCATCTCCCTCGAAGCCTATAATTAAATCATGGCAAAAAGTCAACTCCGCCCTAAACCTACCCGGCACGGGTCAATTATTGACACAAAAACAAAAGAAAAAACAGCCTGAAAATTAGAATTACTTGCAGACCCCCCACATATCATTTGATTTTCAATGTTAAATGAAATCTATCATCAGATCTATCAGAGAGAATTAAGATTTATTTTTCTTTGATTAATGAATAATAATGATTCTTTATCTGGGTAGTGAATATTTATGAGTATTTATAGTTATTAATGAACAGATATGTTACCATGTCAGTTGATGGCACTGCCATTCCTGCCAGCTTGTAATTAGTTTTTATTACCCAAATCATTGAAAACTCTTTCATTACCAAAAATGCAATAACAATTTAAGAAAACACCTTTCTATGTTTGTGAATAAATCCATATATTAATTATGTGGTTCCAAGAGTCATTAAACAAACTAATAAATTAATAAATTGAAAAGTTGGCTGTGTTGACCCATGCTGATTTGGAATAGGGCCAAGCTGACGCGGGGTCCAAGCTGACCCTGATTCATATATTATCAATTCAATGCAAAAACAGTGCAAGTAGACTTGTTAACTGAATGATATTGTTCTTTGAAAAACAGTTACAAAGTTGGTTCAGTTAAAAAATATTCCATTTTAGTGTTAAATATAGTTTAGATATCAAACTTTAACATACAATATGTAAGGGTTGTATTTAGTCCAACTCATTAGACTCGTCAAAGAGACATCAAGATAATTTTGGGCTGGCAATGTCATTTTCTAATGGCTTGAACTTTGACAGTACAGTGAGTACTAAACAAACAGTCTGTAAAATAGGTCAAACAGTTCATGCCAATTTGAATAGACTAGGAATTTATTGTAGTAGAAAAAGATGTGTATAAGAGTTGTAGTAAATTATGTTACTGTTTGAGTTTTTTCTTCATTCAGCAAATAGTGGCAGGTCATTTTGGATGGAAAAATTTGATTGCAATAGTAGGCAGGATTGAGGACGCCTCTGGGTGGGATAATTGTTTATGGTGTTATTCATCTACTGTATCTTCCAACAATGTCAAACTCCTTGTTGGGACATAGACATGATAATGTCTTTGATAATTACATTCATTTCTGATGTTTAAGTAAAACCTTGCATAATTTGTCTTTTAAATGTCATGTAACTACAAAAAGTACCAATGTTTAAATTTGAATATTTGTTTATCTTTGAAATTAAGTATGTGTATGTCTCTCTGATGAATTGAATATAAGGTCACCAAAGTATTTATATATGAAAATTAAGCTGATAGCTATTTTTCTTTCAGGAAATAAAAGGGAATATTTGACTAAGTACCTGAAACCTCTTATCAGAATGGCATCCAGGGTAAGCCAGTGCTTTAATTAAAAGGAGAAAAAATCAATTTTATGTGAAACCTAGATATCTATAATACCAGATAATACCAGATTTATTTAATATTTGAGCTTGTTCCTCCCAACAGGTTTATGTCACCTGACTGTATCTATAGAGCTCATTCAGTGTTTTCATTCATACAGTCTTACCAGATTCAATATAATAATTCTAATATATTACAGATTATTAATATTTCCATTGGTTTTTAATATGTCTTTAGTTAGTCTTAACCATTCCAAATGTAAAGCTTTTAAACTGCATCATACAAATAAAGCATGGAAAAGATTGTGATGTATTTTGTTATGAAAATTTGACTTGTCACATGCCAAGGAATATGTTGTATATTATAGCTGCTGACTAAGAGAGTGGTGTACCTACCAAATATACGGGCAGCTGTGAACCATTTTAGAGCTTTTTCCTGGCACAATAATGGAGAAAATGCAGATAATTATAAAGTTGTTGGAGAGACAGATTCAGGTAAAGTTAAGTTGATGTTTTCCTTCATATTTAAACAGTACTTGCCTTTAGGTATGTATGTCTTGCAATAACAGACAGATTAACTTTGGAATTTGGAACTGGTCTTATATTTCAGTCACAAGTTAAGTTCTTCGGGAATTCTTCATACTTACCAAACAATTTCTTTGTCAGTTATCTTACATCTTACATATTTGTCATTTGAGTGTTTTCAGTGGACATTACCTCTGTGTGAAGTTTCAATTGATTTAATAGGGAGAGATATTGTACTTACTCAGGCATGGATGTCACACTTTGGTTAAGTTTTTGTTTGCAAGTTGGTATCTCCAAAATTGGAGAGAATGGGTTGAAACTTATTTGAGAGCATAATATTAGGTCACTCTCCATGGCCAATAAATCTGATATGAATTTTGACGGAATTATGGCCTTTTTGAACTTACAGCAGTAAGAATAGTCAAGCACAGCTCTTGTCTTGAATTTTATATACATATTTTTTCTAAATACATTTTTTGATTAAGCATTAAAATCAAATTATTACGTTTTTTACGTCGGGGCCAGATAGAAGGGGGGTTTTTGGGACCTCGGGGCAAGGGGGTTCCCCTTTTTTCCCAGGGGGGGGTAGGAACCACCTTAAAACCTCAGCCTGTTCAAAACCCAGCACTTATTGCACAACCAATAGATCTGGATGCACTTTTTTCCCAACTTCCTACTGAGATCCATAAAGATGTTCTTATACAAGCAGAAAATGAGATTGATTTAGTAAGAGCATTATTTGCATATTTTAATTTGCCTGTCTTATCATTTAAATAAATATGCAAGCAATATTCACATGGATTGTGAATACATTGTTGTTATACAATTTTCAAACTATTTATTTTTCTACAGTTTATTTCTGAAAAAATTGTATACTTGACAATCTGGAGGCTTTAAGCCAATTATATCTTTCCAGTTAACACTCTTTGATTTCATTCAATAGTTATTTTTGAAGACATGAATTAACTTTTTATAGATGGAGGCCACAGAACCATCTGAGAGCTGTGAGAAACCTATTCCAACAGCAGAAGATCTCTTGGAATGTGTAGCTCATGAGTGTCCTGAGCTTTTGAGAAAAGGTAACACATACATGTTTATCGGAAGAAAATGTTTTTTTCAAGCTGCTTTAAAAGGGGTTATCCCGAAAACTTGGGAATTAAACCATAAATTTAAAATTCATAAAACAACATACATTAAAAAAATATTATACCAAAAACATGCTACCTTTTTGCAAACATAGTAAAGTTTACAGCACAGCCTTATAGGTATCACAACATAAGCAGTGACATTAAAGACACAATAAAATGTTTTTACAAAGTATATGCCACTGTACACAATAGTTTGATGGCATATATCCCATCGGGAGAATAATTATGTTCTTGTACCATAAGGAGTCCTTCTGGTGAAAAATGCCGGATGCGGCTTGCCGTAAGTGTGCCAACAACCCAAAACCCTAACTAATTGACTGTTGTTTGATTTTATTGTAAGGGAAATCGAAAAATCATAACGCATCTTAAAATTAAAGTCATAAAATAGGTTTCATTTCTTTATATCATTTATTTAAATAAAAAATGTGCAGTTAAAACATTAAACAAATAAAATGTAAAAAAAAATGTTGTAATTTTGGCTTACCATACCAGTTATTATTTCTAAGTTAGATAGCAAACGAAACCATCAACTTAGATTTATTAAATTTTAATCATGAAAAGAATAAATTTTGAATAAATAAAGTACTGGTTGGGGACCACCAAAACCGGACAACCACCAAACCCGGACGGCCCTGAAAATGCTAAATTTAGTATTTTCATTGTTCAGTGGTTGTCAGTCACTTTTTTATCAACAATAAGTGCATGTTTCTTTTAAAATTAAGTAAATGAATTTATTTCAACCTCCGTAAATGGTAATATTTTAATGTCTATTTCAAGAATGTTAACATTGAAATTCGGGGGTCAAGAAAGCAATGCCTGACCTCATATACCAGCTATAATCATTTGCAGAGTGAATAATAGAATATCCAAAACTTCAGCATTTGTTGCTGACATATTGTATATCATGTTACAAATAAAAAATCAAAACACCCAGGCTTTTATCTGAATTAAATCACATCATGTACATATCTGTCCGGACACATGGTACTGTAGTGTAGACAATTTAGGTAATTTTGATACCCTCCTTGTCGAGCCTCAGATATAAGTGTCAATACAATCAGAAATACACAAACTAGTTTATTAGTTAGGAGAAGAACCTAGCTAAACTGTGACAAATTGTTTGGTCTCTAGGTTAAAAATTATGAAATCTGTATGGAAAAATGTTCCAAAAGTGTCCGGTTGATGGTCTCCGACCAGTACTCACTTAAATTTATTTTTATGCCCCCACAATGTGGGAGCATATAGCGTTGCACTTGTCCGTCCGTCAGTCCGTCCGTACGTCCCGAAATCTTGTGAACGCAACTCCTCTTAAACCAGATGGCAGATTTTGCTTAAACTTACAGGGATGAACAACCTTAATGTGTAGATGGTAGTAAAGGAAGGAATTTTCAATGCGACCAAATTTAACAGAATTATGGCCCTTTGTTGATTTTTTCACTAGATACTATGTAGAAATTTTGTGAACGCAACTCCTCTTAAACCGCATGGCAGATTTTGCTTAAACTTACAGGGATGAACAACCTTAATGTGTAGATAGTTGTAAAGGAAGGAATTTTTGCTGCGACCAAATTTAACAGAATTATGGCCCTTTGTTGATTTTTTCACTATATACTATGTAGAAATTTTGTGAACGCAACTCCTCTTAAACCGCATGGCAGATTTTGCTTAAACTTACAGGGATGAACAACCTTAATGTGTAGATGGTAGTAAAGGAAGGAATTTTTGCTGCGACCAAATTTAACAGAATTATGGCCCTTTGTTGATTTTTTCACTATATACTATGTAGAAATTTTGTGAACGCAATTCCTCTTAAACCGCATGGCAGATTTTGCTTAAACTTACAGGGATGAACAACCTTAAGGTGAAGATGGTAGTAAAGGAAGGAATTTTCGCTGCGACCAAATTTTACAGAATTATGGCCCTTTGTTGATTTTTAGCTCACCTGTCACAAAGTGACAGGGTGAGCTTTTGTGATCGCTTTTCGTCCGGCGTCCGTCCGTCCGTCATCCGTCCGTAAACTTTTGCTTTAAATGACATCTCCTCATAAACCACTGAGCCAATTTCATCCAAACTTCACAGGAATGTTCCTTTGGTGGTCACCTTTAAAAATTGTTCAAAGAATTTAATTCCATGCAGAACTCTGGTTGCCATGGCAACCGAAAGAAAAATCTTTAAATATCTTCTTTTAAACAACCCTAAGAGCTAGAGCTTAGATATTTGGCATGAAACATCTTCTAATGAGTGTCTACCAAGTTTGTTCAAATAAAAGCCCTGGGGTCAAAATTGGCCCGCCCCGGGGGGTCATTGATTTTCCCTATATGCATATAGTAAAAACTTAAAAAATCTTATTTTAAAGAACCGTAAGAGCTAGAGCTAAGATATTTGGCATGAAACATCTTCTAGTGAGTGTCTACCAAGTTTGTTCAAATAAAAGCCCTGGGGTCAAAATTGGCCCCGCCCGGGGGGTCATTGATTTTCCCTATATGCATATACTAAAAACTTAAAAAATCTTCTTTTAAAGAACTGTAAGAGCTAGAGCTTAGATATTTGGCATGAAACATCTTCTAGTGCATGTCTACCATGTTTGTTCAAATAAAAGCCCTGGGGTCAAAATTGGCCCCGCCCCAGGGGGTCATTGATTTTCCCTATATGCATATAGTAAAAACTTAAAAATCTTCTTTTAAAGAACCCAAAAAGCTAGAGCTAAGATATTTGGCATGAAACATCTTCTAGTGAATGTCTACCAAGTTTGTTCAAATAAAAGCCCTGGGGTCAAAATTGGCCCCGCCCTGGGGGGTAATTGATTTTCCCTATATGCATATAGTAAAAACTTAAAAAAATCTTCTTTTTAAAGAACCAGAAGAGCTAGAGCTTAGATATTTGGCATGAAACATCTTCTAGTGAATGTCTACCAAGTTTGTTCAAATAAAAAGCCCTGGGGTCAAAATTGGCCCCGCCCCGGGGGGGGTCATTGATTTTCCCTATATGCATATAGTAAAAACTTAAAAAATCTTCTTTTAAAGAACCATAAAGAGCTAGAGCTTAGATATTTGGCATGAAACATCTTCTAGTGAATGTCTACCAAGTTTGTTCAAATAAAAGCCCTGGGGTCAAAATTGGCCCCGCCCCAGGGGGTCATTGATTTTCCCTATATGCATATAGTAAAAACTTAAAAAATCTACTTTTAAAGAACCCAAAGAGCTAGAGCTAAGATATTTAGCATGAGACATGTTCTAATGGGTGTCTACCAAGTATGTTCAAATAAAAGCCCTGGGGTCAAAACTGGCCCCGCCCCGGGGTCATTGATTTTCCTTATATACATAGCAAAAAACTTAAAAATCTTCTTTGAAAAAAACCCAAATAACTAGAGTTTAGATATTAAGCATGAAACATCTTTAAGTAAATATCTACAAAGTTTGTTCAAATAAAAGCCCAGGGGTCAAAACTGGCCCTGCCCGAGGGGTGTCATTGTTTTTAACTATATGTGTATAGTAAAAACTTAAAAAATCTTCTTTTAAAAAACCCAATGAGCTAGAACTTAGATGTTTTGCATGAAACATCTTCTTATGGGTGTCTACCAAGTTTGTTCAAATAAACAAATAAAAGCCCTTGGGTAAAAATTGGGCCGGGGGGCGGGGGACGGGGGATATATACAGGTGAGCGACCTCAGGGCCATCATGGCCCTCTTGTTTCACTATATACTGTGTAGAAATTTTGTGAATGCAACTCCTCTTAAACCGGATGGCAGATTTTGCTTAAACTAACCTTTATGTGTAGATGGCAGTAAAGGAAGGAATTTTTGCTGCAACCAAATTTTACAGAATTATGGCCCTTTGTTGATTTTTAGATTTCAATTTGTGGCACATGTAGTCCAAAAAATATTTGACCTAGAGTCATAAGATTGATAAAACAGTGGCGTGTGGGGGCATCCGTGTCCTATGAGCACATTTCTAGTTTTTAGATATAATAGTATTTTGTAATAAAAATTGACTTTGAAATTTCTGCAAGGCCACATATGACAGCTAAATTTGTCTTTTTCAAGTGCCACCACGATGGAGAGCATTAATGTCATGCAATTTTTCTATCCCACTAATGATATGCATTAGCTTTTAGATAAGCCAAACTGTTTGAAAGAAACCCAGTCTATACCACTTAAAAACTTTTATTTGAGTAACAACATACTTGTCAGGTTTCTTTGTCATATTAGATGTTGACAAATGTTTGTGAATGTGCAGTTTTCCGGACACCTTTACAACGATGTTTTCGAATAAATAAACGTTACAACTACAAGCTGTTGAAAATTGATTACACAAAAATCTATTGTTCAGATGGGGTGAAATTTTAAGATGACGTTTTAACACCAAGCTTCAGCAAATTTTGGACAAGAATCATTTTTGTATCAGGCACTTTGATATAATGATGTAACATATACATGTAATATGTCAACGCACATTGCGTTTCTTTAAGCTGCGCCACTGTGGCGTTTTCATGGTTATTTCAGGCAGCCTGAAACTGTACTGGATACCACTAAATCTATAATATTTTGCAATTAAATAGATGAAACATCAATGTTTGTGCAGGTATAAATTTGATAAAGAAAACATGATGACATTTATCAGAATTATAAACATATTCCGGGTATTCCTGGATCATCCCTCGTATTTGCCTCTTGTAACTTAAATGTACAAACTTAGTCTTTAAATCTATGCACATTTTTAAAACGGGTCATATTAGAATTTGCATATTTTAAAGTTAATCCTAGACATAGGATACACATTTGATTAATAATGACATTTTAGAATTTGAAATCTTTCTTACATGTGCATTTTTAAGTGAAAATACCTTCCAATGAGCAAAGCAACTCCAGACAATGTCATTTATGTTTGCTTTCTACATGTTCATGTTTTACGCCTATTTTAACACATTTTGTAGACATCTCAGCAGTCAACCCATCGAATCAGCTTTCCTGGATAAGTAACCATTAATTACCTACTTTTCAACAAGTGACAAACTACTAATCCCACATGAATTGTGAATCATTAAGGAGGGACAATGACCATTAGACTCAGTAACTAAGATCAATGTCTCAGAGAAATTAAGTCTCGCTCAAGGATTAACCAGCAATGGCTGGATTACTAATTGGATTACTTATCAGATGCTCTCCCAATTGAGCTAAGTGTGGGTCAGTCTGTGTCATTTTATAGCCAATAGTAGGCCGAGTTGTTAATATTGTATTCATTAAACACTTAAATGTTCTTTAGGTTAAAATCATACATAATTTTATTTTAATAACAGATTTTGCCGACTTATTTCCATGGAGAGACGTAATGCAAGGTAATTTCACAGTGATAACAGTAAGCCAGAAAACCAAAGAAGATATGTCCGGCTGGTCTATGGAGGTTGAGGCAGAGAGAGAGGAATTGTTAGAAAGTGTAAGTTACCATCTCAAAGTATGTTTAACCTTTTCAGATTGAAGTGTGTAATTTTGTTCAGGCATTCCAACATAGGTGCAATTTGTCGTTCAGAAATTAAGACTGTTCAAAGCATCATACCTGTCAATGAGTAAACAAATTTTGAATAATACAGTCAATGAATGTATGATTTTGAATTTACTAGCCCGAATTCCAGTTTTGAATTTATTCTACTATATATTTAACTAAATTTTCTTATGGCCCGAACTAATTTTCACTGTCCATGGGCCACCGGGCCAGTGCTCAATTTGATGACTGATAATATCTGTCATAAAGAAATAACTCAAGAGCTTAAAAAATATTTCAAGCACTCATCTTCCAGGTGACAATTGGCACGTTTTATTCCAAAAACTTTTTTTCTCTCCAAAGCCTTGTATGTGTGGTCATTTCTTCCTATTTTATAACATTATAAAGTGATTACTGTGAATGATAAAGTTGTAAGTTTATCCTAAATCTATTTATTTATTGAAAAAATATTTCTTTTAAACAGTTTATCCTGGGAGCTACAGAGATCTGTGAAGCTTTACAAAAGGCTGGATACTGGGCAGATTTTATCGACCCATCCAGTGGAAAACCAGTAAGTGTAGTATTGCAAAATAGAAAGCCTGAATGATTGACTTTCAATGAATGATTTATTAATCAGCTGATATAATGGAGCAGCAGGTTGATGAATAGACTCATTGATGGATACACTGAAGATTCATTATTGGCCAGGATTGGTTGACAAGAATTTTTTTTGTTCAACCTGACATCACATACACTCAGAAATTTATCATATAAAGTTTATAGAGGATAGTCAAGTTTTTTCTATCAATACAGTATTAATTTTCATCAAGTGGTATGAAAATAAATATTTCATGAGTGGCGGTAGCCACAAGCGAAATATGATAATTTTCATACAAGATGAAAATAAATCCTGTATTTGTAGGAAAGCTTGAATTTTCTGTTTATAATAGACATTTTCTCTTATTTGACATCAGAATTTGAATGACTTTCTCTCAAATTTTGCAGAAAGTAGTACGGCAAACACCATTGAAAATATGGAAAATATGTTTCACTGCAGTGAAAAATAATTTTTTACTGTTGCAAATACTATTTTATTTCATCAATATTTCTAAATATTTCATTTATAAGTATATAATATTTTTTTTAATTTATTAGTTTAAAAATAAATATATTTCAGTATTACATGTATTCAGTTTCATAAAAAAACTAAACTTTGGCATATAAAGATTAAAGAAGTTTGGGTCATTTAAAGTGTCCTGTTAGGGACAAATGAGCCGTGTCATGACAAAACCAACATAATGGGTTTGCGACCAGCATGGATCCAGACCAGCCTGCGCATCCGCGCAGTCTGATCAGGATCCATGCTGTTCGCTTACAAACCCTATAACAAGTAGAGAAACTGATAGCGAACAGCATGGATCCTGATCAGACTGCGCGGATGCGCAGGCTGGTCTGGATCCATGCTGGTCGCAAACCCATTATGTTGGTTTTGTCGTGACACGGCTCAAATGAAATGTTGTCATGCAAAATTTTGACTACATAATGGAAAATGTGTAACATTCTAGCAGAGAAAATTTTAGTTATTTTTTCTTTTAATTTGTATCAAATTTGACTCATTTCTTTTTAGAATAAAAATAGACTCTTGCTAGTCCGAGACACTTGCAAGGAATAAACATAATTGTTACTAGTCTCAGAGATACTTGCTACCAGGACAAATATATCAGCATCATTTTCCTACAGGATTTTAATCCTCATGTCCCACACACTGTTGTTTGAGCATTTTTCAAAAAGTGTCATCAAAAGTGGCTTAAACACCACAGGTTCATACATTTACATGGAAGTAGTTGATTATTTATACAAGTCTTCCTATCAGTAAGATTGATCTTCACAAAAATATTACATGAACATGTATATTGTTATATTTCACCACATATTCTTGTTTTATTTCAGTTTATGAGTCAGCACAACACAAATTCAGTTTTGTTTGAGACTGATGAGCGATATCATAAACTTGGTTTTGAAATAGAGGATTTAGGATGCTGTAAAGTGATACGTCATCATATCTGGGGTACCCACGCCTACATAGGATGTTTATTTACCAACGCTCCTACAACTGATCCAATTTTACAAGTGATGAGAAAACAATGATTTTGTTATGTGTTAATTATGTGTTTTAGATATATATATGTTTTACTTTTTAAAGTTAAAAACATGTAGTGCAAAACTGTTTGTATCACTTTAGTTGAAGACATTTATTGCTGGAAAGTGAATGGGAAAATAGGGGATGCTTGTTGTTTGATTTACCTCTTCTGCAAAAGACTGAAGATAACTTGGGTATAACCTGGATTTGACCACAGGTTTTAAACCAGGTGTATATTAGTAGACTCATTCTGTATTTGTAATAAGTTACTGTATAAAATATAGACAAAATGGTCCATTCCAGAAGATTTCCAATAACTATGAAATTTTATGGTGGCAGATTTTATATCTTATATTGAAGAATATCACTTCTTTCTAAATGAACTTTAAGTATGTTTTGAAAATGCAGAGCACATTTATTATAAACCAGTTTAAAGAAGTAATTTGGATGATGTACATTTGTATGTTATCAAAAAGCCAGTTTTTATAATGTGCAATTTTATCATTCGTATAAACTAAAGGACAATGCTTGTTCTGGTAACTTCATATTGTGTGAATTATGAAAAAAACTGTATCTACAGCAGATTTTAAATACTCTTGTTTATAGAAGTAGGCAATATGTTTAAATAAAACTTTGTTGATATTTGTGTTTTGTAATGCTCCCTACTGGTTTCTTTATTAGAAATGAAATAAGAATCAATCTATCCATGGGTACAAACTTTGATAGAACACAGCTAGGTACCTGGCCAGCATTTCATAATTTTTGATTTTGCGTGTTTACTTTATTTTTTAAATGAAATAAGAGTAAAAAATTGTATACTTTTCTTGCTTTTATTGAAAATTTCATAGTAGTTTAGATTTTCAATGTTATTGCCGTGCAATAAATTATTTGAAATTTATATCTAAATATGCCATTACTGTTTATTGAAATTTCCCTGTATTGTCTGCAAATAAAGTAACAAAAGTAACATTGTACATTAAATTGGACATAATTTTTTTGACATTGGGCATTTAACTATAATTCCCCAGCTTATTTTTTGATGTAGCAAGTTCCCTATATAAACTGCTGTTCTAATTTTAGTTCTGTGTTGCTTAGAAATCAAAAGTTTTTATCATTTGATTAATTAACAAAGAGGCTTTACTGTTAACAAGAGCTGTGGGTAGGACAGCAACGCTCGACTATTCTTAGTGCTTGATAGTAAAAAAAATGCTTGATAGAGTTACCTCCTCCTGTTTACAGGTTGGGGTCATGATGGTGAACAAGTGTGCAAAGTTTCAAAGCTATATGTCAATGGACTTTGAAAATATTTGAACTATTACAAAAACTTTAACGTAAATTCTAAGTCGAAAAAGGGGCATAATTCTGTCAAAATGCATGATAGAGTTACCTCCTCCTGTTTACAGGTTGGGGTCATGATGGTGAACAAGTGTGCAAAGTTTCAAAGCCATATGTCAATGGACTTTGAAAATATTTGAACTATTACAAAAACTTTAACGTAAATTCTAAGTCGAAAAAAGGGGCATAATTCTGTCAAAATGCTTGATAGAGTTACCTCCTCCTGTTTCCAGGTTGGGGTCATGATGGTGAACAAGTGTGCAAAGTTTCAAAGCCATATGTCAATGGACTTTGAAAAATATTTGAACTATTACAAAAACTTTAACGTAAATTCTAAGTCGAAAAAGGGGCATAATTCTGTCAAAATGCTTGATAGAGTTACCTCCTCCTGTTTACAGGTTGGGGTCATGATGTTGAACAAGTGTGCAAAGTTTCAAAGCCATATGTCAATGGACTTTGAAAATATTTGAACTATTACAAAAACTTTAACGTAAATTCTTAGTCGAAAAAGGGGCATAATTCTGTCAAAATGCTTGATAGAGTTACCTCCTCCTGTCTACAGGTTGGGGTCATGATGTTGAACAAGTGTGCAAAGTTTCAAAGCCATATGTCTATGGACTTTGAAAATATTTGAACTATTACAAAAACTTTAACATAAGTGGTTACGCCGACGCTCGGGTGACTGCAATAGCTCTACTTATTCTTATCGAATAGTCGAGCTAAAAATACAGGACGAAAATAAAAAAGGGCTGGAAACTGCTAGGAAACCTGTAACGCTCTCTTCTACATCCTGAATCATTCAATTGTTGCACAAGGTATTTTAAATGAGACACAAATATTTTCACATTGATTCAAAAACCTCTTTTATTTCAGGATTTCTATCTTGTCTGAACAAATTCAAAACAAAAAGTAACTTAGTTTCAAAACTAGTTCCTTTCAAAGACATTTATTTTGATGCTGCCCATAATCAGAAGTTGAGACTACTGCATGACTCGAACCACTTTCCATTCTGAACACCATACCAGTTGTAGTGCTTTATTGGTTTGTTTCTTGTTCTCCAAATATCTTCAAGAGATATGTTAAAAGTTCACGCATTTTGAAATTTAACTGTCTAAATAATAAAGTACTATCAAGAACCTTTGGCTCTTTCACGTTCTTCAAATTCTTCAAGCTTTTTCTGATATAACTTTTTCAGATATCTGTCCGGTTTTAATTTCTTTTCCTCTAATTCGCTCCACACTTTCTCAACACGTTCCCTAGTATTTGCACTTTCCAATTTCCTACCAATGAAGTAAAGTTCAAACTCTTTCTTCCCTATCAGTTTACAACCATCAACTTTGCAAAGGCTTTCTACCTTGTCTCTATCCAAATTTTTTACTAATTTTATACCCAGCACCCGCTCCAGTCCTGGAAGGTCAACCTCAAATTCTTTTAAATGATGCTCAAATCCAATTGGTTTGTTTGGAACAACAAAAGCACTAACAGCTTTAGTTGCCCCGTGTTTGTCCTCTACAATGATGACCTTGAATAAATGTGTTGGCACTGCCACTTCATTTTCTCCAATAACCTACAGCAAAAAGGAAACAAATGTTGAAAGAAAAGAAGCTCATGTCAGGTTTGTATCTTTGTCATTAGAAAAAGACTTGTGGTTATTATATTGAGAAATTCTTGTCACATATACCAATACAGAAGCTGCCAAAGGAAAGAATGGACAAAATTTTCAGAAATGACCAAGCAAAAGCCATGAATGAATAGTCTATGTTTACAAAGGGGAATTATTCAGTAGATGTCCATTCATTTTAGCCTTGGTTATTGACGGCATTCAATACAAAAATCTTACAAAAAAACAAGAGTTATAACTTTTCGAACATGCTTGAACAATCTTGGTTTTTGATTTTGGAAATGTATGAATTTTCAAAAAGGGGAATATTGTAGTTCAGTAAATGTCCTTATTACTGTTACGAGCCTTTGTCATTGGCTTACAATTATAAGTAAAACTACATGTATTGAGTTTCAAATAAATACTTTTAGTGGATAAGGAGATAGAATTTGCACTAAGAACATTCAAATGTTACATAGGGGAATAATCATTAATTTTTGAAAGCTTTATCAAGTTAATACCTTCTGTCAGTATATGAAAGAAAACCTGCTAGTTATATCTATTTCAAGTTTATTCCAGGTCATAACTCTTCCCATATGCTGGCTAGCATAATTGTCAGTAAGTTTGAACACCAGAAATTCCATATGAGTAAAGCTTAAATCTAATCTAAGCATTTGATATTGAGATTAGTCCAATTAGCAAAACTTGAATTGATGAACCAAAATCGACAAAAGATGCCGATGATGGTCAAGAAAATTACATCTCCCTATAAGTAAAATAAAAATGGAGCAGAAAAATTTACAAACCTGATATTTGACATATTTTTTCCCATCTTCTTCCTCCTCGGGTATCATGGCCGGTCCACTGATTATATAAACGTTAGAGTATTTCTTGGTTAGATCTCTACAGTACATCTCCAGCCGGTTCCAGTATCCGGCATTATTCTCATAGTTCTGTGGTACTACATTACTCAAATAAAATGAATCCTGCATGGCTGCCTGAAAAGTTAAAAATATCATGAACATAAATTATTTAGGCCAAAGAATTGCTAATTGATCTTGTAAAATGATACAAGTATCACTTATGATAATAACCTGTTACTTTTCAAAGTTTGAATAATAGGAGGTACTCACACATGAATAAAAATTAACAATGTCTGTTCATATGTATCCCAAATGCAACAGCAAAGTGGTTAGAATTTTTCACACTTTCTCTATTGTAGACTAAAGCATTCTATTGATTTGAAAATAGTTTAATGATCTCGTTCACCATGACCTTGACCTTTAACCGACTGACCTTTAAATCAACAGGGGTTATTAACTGACCATTATCAGTCTCCATACCAATCTTATGACTGTAGGCCAAAGCATTCTGAAGTTATCGTTACCACAAACATTGAATGGTGACCTTTGACCGACTGACCTCAAAATTGACAGGGATCATCTATTAGTCATGCTAAACGCGCACACAATATCTAAGGTCTGTAGGCCAAAGTGTAGTCAAAATTGATAAGAATTATCTACTAGTCACAACAACCCACAACACTTAAGACCAGACCAATCTAGTTAATAATTTATTATTTGGTTAGCCAAGTCCAGTTGAAATCTACTCTATACATAACTCAAAGTTATTTAATATGTGTATGATCTTATAACTTGTCATTACATTTTTTGGGCTGCTGTTCGTATTTCTTTCTTTTAAACTGGGATAAAAGAGACTATACTTGGGTCTTATGATAGGGTGAAAATGCCCAGTCTTCCCTAGTGATCATCAACTACTTGCAAACATTTTGTTGCACAATGTATAACTTGATAATAATCAAGTTAACAAAACAAGAAGACACCATACTTTATTTGTCAGTTTTTGTTTTTTTTGTCATAGATATTTTATGCCAAATATAAAAGCTCTAGCATTTTTAAAAGTTTTTACTATAATTACAATAGTAACCGTGTGCTCAAGTGTGCTAAAAACATTCAATATTCTTGATACAGAAAGAGACTATTTTCATATGACTGCAGTGTTTGCTTTTTATCCAAGGAGGGTTAACTACCAATTACCGGATTAATTTTGTTATTTCCAGCAGGGGACATATGACCCCTGGACCATCCACTTTTCCAGTAGTCGCTGTTCTCAGCAGTAAATTCTTCATCCACTGCAGGATCTGGCATAAAAGTTGCAAACCTTCTAGTTGATTTACCTGCAAAATATGGAATATATGTCATATAGTAAACAATAGGTGAAAACATTTCTCCAAGGATTTGATCTATTAATCATGTTTCGTATTTCCTTTAAAATCTATAGTCCTCTTTTTTTTCTTTCTTTTATTGCATTATGACACACAGTTTTTCCTCAGTGCTTTTGTTCCAATGGGTTTGTCCCTATTTATTAATGCTTGATTAATGTTGATTTCAATGGAAGTTCAAAGCATTTTAAAGCTTTTTTAAAATAACAAGTATCATAATAAAAAGATATAAATGAATTTTCAAATGAATATCAAAACACTTATTTGATTAGGTGACATGATGATTTAAGCAACAACACTTTCCAAGCTGTTAACACTTTCCAGGCTGTATGGGGACTCAATTTAAGCTTTGCTGGCCAAGAAAAATGTTTCTTGCGTTTTCGTGTGTTTTACCCATGCCGGAAAATTCATCTGGCATGGGGGGTGCCAGATGAGTCGCGTGCTGTACAATGGCACGCTAATAGGATGACGTCATTTTACCATTATGAATGAAGTTGCAATTTCATACACTGTTGTAAGAAAATAGTTACGGCTGTAATGATATAAATTTGTGTTCAAAATTAAGATAAAGAATTTAAAATATAATGGAATATTTTAGAATATGCAAGAAAACATATCTGACATATGTTTGCGGTTCGGATCGGAATATCCGTCCCTCAGTAACCTGCCCATGGGCAGTAGCTCGTCAAGCCTCGTTACTGCCCAATTGGCAGGTCACCTCGGGACAGATATTCAGGTCTGAACCGCAACATATGACAGATATTATTAATCTAGGTATACATGTATAATAAAAGGATAATTATGTTGTAGTAACTTTCTGAGGCCATGCATTTTGCTACTAGCAGCATGGGAAAATTGATATTTCGCCCGACCTTCGGTCTCTGAAGATATAATTTTTCCAACGCTGCTTGTAGCAAAATACAAAGCCACTACAAAAAATATTCTGTAAATAAAACTGAATTAAACAAGAGGGCCATGATGGCCCTGGGGTCGCTCACCTGAACATAGGCCCTCAGGGCCGGGCCAGTTTAAACCAAAGGGCTTTTATTTGAACAAACTTGGAAGACACCCATTAGAAGATATTTCATGATGTTAAGATTTTACTATACACAAATTATGAATAACAATGACTTTTGCCCCCCCCCCTCCCCCTGGCAGGGCCAATTTTAACCCAAGGGCTTTTATTTGAACAAACTTGGTAGACATCCATTAGAACATGTTTCATGCTAAATATCGCAGCTCTAGCTCTTAGGGTTCTTTAATAGAAGATTTTTAACTTTTTACTCTATGTATATAGGGAAAATCAATGACCCCTGGGACGAACCAATTTTGACCCCAGGGCTTTTATTTGAACAAATTTTGTAGACACCCATTAGAACATGTTTTATGCTAAATATCTTAGCTCTAGCTCTTTGGGTTCTTTAAAAGAATTTTTTTTAAGTTTTTACTATATGCATATAGGGAAAATCAATGACCCCCTGGGGCGGGGCCAATTTTGACCCCAGGGCTTTTATTTGAACAAACTTGGTAGACACTGATAAGAAGATGTTTCATGCTTAATATCTTAGCTCTAGCTCTTTGGGTTCTTTAAGAGAAGATTTTTTTAAGTTTTTACTATATGCATATAGGGAAAATCAATGAACCCTGGGGCGGGGCCAATTTTGACCCCAGGGCTTTTATTTGAACAAACTTGGTAGACATCCATTAGAACATGTTTTACACCAAATATCTAAGCTCTAGCTCTTTGGGTTTTTTAGAAGAAGATTTTTTAAAGTTTTTACTATATGCATAAAGGGAAAATCAATGACCCCCTGGGGCGGGGCCAATTTTGACCCCAGGGCTTTTATTTGAACAATCTTGGTAGACACTTATTAGAAGATGTTTCATGCTTAATATCTTAGGTCTAGCTCTTTGGGTTCTTTAAAAGAAGATTTTTTAAAGTTTTTACTATATGCATATAGGGAAAATCAATGACCCCCTGGGGCGGGGCCAATTTTGACCCCAGGGCTTTTATTTGAACAAACTTGGTAGACATCCATTAGAACATGTTTAATGCCAAATATCTAAGCTCTAGCTCTTTGGGTTTTGTAGAAGAAGATTTTTTAAAGTTTTTACTATATGCATATAAGGAAAATCAATGACCCCCTGAGGCGGGGCCAATTTTGACCCCAGGGCTTTTATTTGAACAATCTTGGTAGACACTCATTAGAAGATGTTTCATGCTTAATATCTTAGGTCTAGCTCTTTGGGTTCTTTAGACACTCACTTGAAGATGTTTCATGCCAAATATCTAAGCTCTAGCTCTTTGGGTTATCTAGAAGAAGATGTTTAAAGTTTTTTCTTTTGGTTGCCATGGCAACCAGGGTTCTGCATGGAATGGAATTCTTTGAACAACTTTGTTAAGGCTTCACACAAGGAACATCCCTGTGAAGTTTCATTATGATCTGCCTTATGGTTTCAGAGGAGATGTCGTTTGAAAAGTGTGAACGGACAACGGACGACGTACGACGGACGACAGACGACGGACGACAGACGACGGACGAAGAGTGATCCTAATAGCTCACCCTGAGCATATGCTCAGGTGAGCTAAAAAGAGATCAGAAACTAAATTACCTTGTAAATTTTCTTTTGTAAGATGTTCTGCTACCCAGACTGGGATTCTCATTTGCTGATTGTAAACCAAAGCATGGTTGGTATAGTAACGTACCATTCTACCATCTTCTGCTATGCCATATTTCAATATTGCACTGCATCTTTCCAATTTTTCTTCCGAGGTAGAATCGGCTGGAATTAGATATTTCAAGATGATAATATGAATTCAGATCATGGTTGTACACACAATTATTTCAAAACTTTATACAAAAACTTTAAAAAGATGTCACATAGCCTTTTAAAACTTGAACCCTTACCTACAATTTTAACTCATAACTTTCTGAAGCCAAGTGAACCCAGGATCGATCCCCGGACCTCATGAGTGATACTCAGTGGTTTAACTTTTGGTTCTTTTAGAAATATTTTCTTCTATTTTAGATTTTTCATGACACATAATTTTTGAAGTCCATAAAACATATGTTATGATGGAAAGTTTGGACAAAAACAAACTTTGGCAGCTTTCTTATGTTCTAAATGGTAACTTTGCGCCTAAATCTGATAGTATGCATTTTTTTGTGTTTGCATGTAGTATAACATTTAAAATTACCATCAAAGAAAATTGTCCATTGTTAAAGAATTGTCCAAGCATGTGTACCAGGAAAAGAATTTGCCATAAATATATAGATAAATAGTATTGGCACACTTATTTGGAGCAAATAAAAAAATAAAGTCCACTTTTATTTTAAACATTAATTGCATTAAAACATAATTTTTATGGATAAAATCAGAAATAAGAAAATAAGTCTAACAAATCTAGATTCAATCAAGATACTGTACAGTACAGTATTTTAATTTCAATGTAGCTTTGTGTGTCATCTTTCATGAATAAAGCAAGTGTAAAATAATTATCATCTTTGCTATTCAAGAGATTTATGTAATATGTTGTGTACAAGCCCAATTGGGCAATGTGACCAGTCTGTTGATTTCAGTGATATTGCTTTCAGAGTGGCCCTTTTAAAAATTATAGAGGAACTCATAACTCATCACATTCTATTATTGAGGTCTCTGCTGACTAGACTTGGAGTGATGGACTATAATTTGTCACTGATAGTAGGTCTGATCAGAGATGTAGATATCTATAATTTGGACCCACTTTTATAACTTTTAGTGTCCTCTTGTTGACACTTCGTACCAAGTTGTGTGTCAGACATGCTATCATTTAGTTAACATATTTACGTCATTTAACTATCACCTGTATTTAATAATGTCTGTTTAATAGTTTTCACTGATCGCTCCTCTTCCTCTTTTCTCTTCTGGTATCCTTGTAACGCATACAACCATGCATTAGCTCCCACTGCTAGTATAGCTCCCATTAACACACCTCTCAAATACACAGGGTTTGTTATATACTTTGACTTGCTGACTTTGACCATTATGAACCTTAATACGGTACAAAAATATGACAACAGTGAAGTTTAATTTAACCTTTAAAAACAGATTGAGAGAAAGGTACACATGTAAATTACTCGGATTTTATCGTTGGTAGTTTTTAAACTGGTTCCCTGCGAAGTAAACAAAATTTGATATGGAACGTGGATTCTTATGGGCACCTGACACTGGTACCTAACTTAGAATATCTGTCACTCTTTTTTTACAGGTGTCTTTGTAGGCAAGGAACCAAGGCTCCGCACATTTTGTTGCAGAAGCTGGAAAAAGCGGAAAGTATGAATAATTTTGAAAGATAAAAGTAATTTTATTTGGTTTATGATATTATAAGCTACATTGTATTATCCAAGTGAACAGAAATAGGTGATCAGATGATCTCACGGGTATTGAAGAACAAGGGTGTCTTAGACTGCTTCATCGTCGGATACCCACGGCCGAACCATTAACATTTATCAATTGCATGTTATGTGGCATGTTTATCAATCGTGGGTATCCGACGATGAGACTGCTTATAAATCAACTAACTTATATTTTGTTTCACAGTCGCAATACAGTTTTCATCATATTTTATTTCCCATAAAAATATTGTTTAACAAAAGACCTGTCACTTAAAAAAGTACACTTCATTGTATCAGAGAATTTATCTATGTCTCTGCAAGGATTTATATTACAAATCCGTGGTCTCTGCTAGTGATGTGAGTGCATGCAGGTTTCGATCCGAACCGCAAACATGTTATACATTTTTTCTCAAGCATATTTTACCATATTCCACCATACCTTAACCCATTACTTCATGAGCATTTTGTGAAAAATGGCTGTTTTCATTGAAAAGTCTCCCGTTACAAGTTCAAATTGCTATAATACTATAAAAACTGCTTCAACACTAATCAAACTTGGCACAAATGTTGACTGGACCATTGCCCTTGCAACAACATGCTCAGGCTTAAATTTTCTGTTACCATGGCAACGAGGGGACATCTCAAAATTGCCAAAAAAAACTATTTTGCGTTGATTTTTTCCATCAAAATTGATTTCAAAGTGCTGCAACTTCTCAATGGATTGAGATAGAGTCAAATGCTTTTCAGCGTTGGTTACACGTTACCTTATGATCAATCTGGGGTTATTTATAGCCTCTCACAAGTCCAAAATTTTCTGGCGATGATGGGGACTCCGCCCCCTTTAACCCCCCCCCAAACAGAAGGGGGCACATCCCCCTTCTGGCAACCCCTGATGTATCTTTTGGTTGGGGGCCGCCCCGAAAAAGAGGTCACTTTTTTTAACAACATTTCTCAAACAAAAACAAGTGTTGGGGCCTAAATAAGGTATTTTTCACCATTTGAAACAACAAAAGGGGGGGGGGGGGGTGAAAAATGCGTTAAAAGGCGTGTATATAACGTAATGGGTTAATACAACAATTTTCCATGGAAATTCATGTCTTTACACCCGTAACTATATTCGTACAACAGCCTATGAAATTACAACTTCATCCACAACCGCAAATTATGTCACCCAAAGCATGGCATTGTATAGCATGCGACTCATCTGGCACCCTATGACAGATGCAGTTTCCGGCATGAGTAAAATCAACGGAAACACTTGTCTGATATGCAAGAAATACTGTCAAATCGGTTTATAAATGCACAGATATATAAACAATCTTATATTTAGCTCCATGATAAATGATAGTTTGGGTTTCTATTTAGTTATATAAAACCAATATTACTCAGAGTATAGATCTATCAGTAATAGTGTTGTTAACATAGCTTTGCCGAATTTTGTGAATTTACGTATATTAAAATCAATTCCTTTTAAATGTATTGTGTATCTTAATTAAGTAATCATTTTTCCCATCGCAATGATGACGTTATTCCGCAGTAATACTCATTTTTAAGTAACAACTGCTTCGGGTAACCTTCAACCACTGACAGACACTCGCTCAATTAAGTACCATGTGACCACAGGCGTTAGTCACATAATCAAATATTTTACATAATCGGTCTATATATGTATATAAAGATATCTTATTATAGTATATAGCCCATATAAAACTTTAAAAAGTTTGTTTCAAGCACCTGTGCATGTGACAGAGAATTTCAAGTAAATTTATGAGTTGACAAATCTAATTTTATCTATTCAAACGACACTTGATATATTGTCCTTGCAACAAGGAACATTTTCAGGGCTTAATTACTTTTAAGTAAGGCTTAATTACTTTAAGTAATTAAACAATAATGTGTGGTAACTGAGGAAAACTGATGGTGAGACGTTACGTTACCCGGATACTGCGTGCTCTGAATATACTTCCGTCACTTATAGGCGTCTCATTTGACAAAGAAAACCGTACTTGTATAAGTCGTTGTACATGTACATGTACTTAAGATGGCTTACACAACAGCAGGTGTCAAGTACTGCGTTGCAGCTGTAAAAAGTTGCCCCGTACTTCATTTCAGTGTTGTTATATTGTTCTGCTCCTTCGGGATCATTGATGCCAGCACTATTAAGTGTTGAGAATTGAGTACGCTCAAGCCGGTGCTATGGGGCGTGGGGGATGTTGCACATTTTCATTTCCCCTCAATTACGCAAAAACAGATAAACTATAATCAGCAATTGTTAGACGATTTGGCTATACTGCATTTTTAACAGAAATGATTCGTTTCAAATCTTAATGATTTTGTTTTAATTGTATAATTATCTTTTGTCAACTGTTTATATGATATATCAAAAATCATGTTCACGAAACTATAATATTTGTCATAATCGTTTTAGAATTTAAACCATGTGATGCAGGAATGTTTGTCTTATAACAGGTGTGGCAAACTCAAAAATTTCAGGTAACGCCTGAGAAGAAATGATTTGCATGCTTTGTCATTTTTGTTTAACAGCAGTGCAAACGGCTTAGATATTTGACATAAAGCTTTGCCTGGTCAACCTGTACAAATGTTAGGTAAGTCACGCCCCTGGGGTTAAAATCTACACTGGAGATAGTTTACTTACATTGATTTGTAATGTAAAAATGTCTTTAAAATTTTCTTCACTGAAAGTACCATTACACTAATTAAGATATTTCGATGTACAATATATAATGTATATGTGGCATCACCTTGTTGGCCCTCCCCAACAGTTATAGAATCATACACCTAGGCTCAAAAGTAGCTTTGCCCCAGGGGACACTTTGTTTATATAGACTTATATAGGAAAATACATTTAAGTCTTCTTTTGTGGTACTAAATTGCCGAGAACTTACTAGATATTTGGCATGTTAAATTGCATAGTTGACTTAGTTGTGAAATTCACCTCTTTCTATACTGTAACATTTTGTCAATACGTTTGACTCATAAATGTTTCTTAATTAAAGCTTTGAAGGTTTAATATTTGTAGGATGTCAGAATGGGAGAAAAAAATGCGTTGGTCTCTCGATTCGAATTTTCAGATTAGTGGATTACTATAATCACGGGGGAGGAACTTTTACACGAAGGATGGAGTTCTTATGATAACTTTTTGGAGTTCTTATGATAACTGTCACGGAGTTCCTGGAAAACGTTACGGATTTCTGTGGGAAACTTCTATATACTTGGAGAACTCACGAAAAAAATGGTCATTTTTACCTTTAAATAGGTAGTTTGAGGTGCTAAATTAAACTATGATAATTAAACTTGTCCTACATTATTGTCCTATTATGTTTCAGAAAAACCTTTAATTCCATTTTCATCGTCTTTTTAAAAAAATATCTGGTAGTTTTGAGTAAAATTTCCAAATTACCTGCTCATTCCCCAGCAAACACAAGACGTCACACTGACGTCATATTTAAGTCAGGTTCTGACGTCGGATGACGGTCGGAAAAACGGTTGGATTTGAAAGTTTTTTGACGTAATAATCTGACGTCAGGTAGTCGTCAGAATCTAACCATTATCTAACCATTTTCTGACCAAAATCTGACCATTTTCCGATCTAAATCTTAACCCTTTTCTGCCCTAAATCTGACCATTTTTTGACCTTAATCTGATCATTTCCCTAATCCTTCTTGTTTTACCATGTAATAAATATTTTCTGGCCAATCCTGATTTGATCAAATTTAATGTAACTCATTCTATTAAGTAACTTTCACTCCAATGAAATGTATAACAAAAAACTAAAAGGAAAAATATGTTTTTATGTTTTTTTTTATTTAAAATAAAAGTTGCAATTTAAAGCTGATACATACAGTTTTAGTAAATTCTGCAAGGCTAAATACTTTTCATAAATTAAACAAAATAAAACATAAAATAAGTTAATAATAAAACAAAAAATATTACAAAAACAATGAAACTAAGAAAACATATACAAATATTAAAGAACAAAACAATGTATGTACATTTCTATCAAAGCTTGTCTTATCAAACAAAATAATGAAAATATTATACTTTAAGAAAAGTTAAAAGATTCGGATAATAATGTTTCAAGCAATTAATGACAGATTTTCAGTATTTTAACTATAATTCTACAGCATTACTAAAACATTTAGTGCTATTTTTCATATTTTGACCTCCTTTTGATAATTGTCACTGACGTATAAATTACTTCCTTTTAGTTACTTCACAAAGTTATACTTTTAAATATCCACGAGAATTAGCACGAATTTGGAGGTGTGATGCTTTTAGATATATGACCTTCTCTCACCACCCCTCGTCTGTCCGGAGGATATGTTAATGTCCAATTGCGTTTGTGATATCATTTTCACTGAAAAAAAAAGAAATTTATGAAAATTGGAAAAATAACAAGCAAAAATGTTTTTCATGGTTATCTGCCCTTTAGAAATTTTGAAAGTTGTCTTAACTTAATGAACAACTTTGCTAACTTTTTAAAAGTGAGCTTTAACAAAAATTAAAAGTAAACATAAATACTGAAAATTTAAAAGACCGCTTTAAAACTCCAGTTTAATATGGATTATAGTATGTAATAGAATTTACAAAAATCTTACTTTCCCATGTTTCTTTTTACATTATCACATATTTCTGTCCCTCCGACCTTTGAGAGCATGACCAACACTTGAACTACCTGAAAAGAAAATTATATTCTAACTTATGTATATTCTACTTTTGAAATAGAACAGTTACGCAAGTCTTAAATTTTTCATA